TTAACGGGATCGGGTGGTCGGGCTCGCTGACTTGGTTTGATGCATGTCATCGATCCCAATTGCGTGGATCGATGCTCATGATATTAATCACTGGAATGTCTGGTCCAGACTCGATTATTTACAGACCGCCGTCATATAGCTGGAATATTGCTGAGTGCGGCGTTAAACAACCAACCAACCAACGTGTGATATTGTGTGGATTCCAGCCCATGTTGGGCTGCATGGAAATGAGACAGCAAAACCACTTGCGAAATCTAGCTTGCAATGACCTGAGGTAACAATATCCGAATTCAGACCCAAACCAAAACATTTCGACTTTATTTTACCACAAGCATGTGACGGTTGTGAGATGCTGGGACAACTGGTCGACATAGGAATCCAATTTGTCCTTCTGTAAAAACAAATAGGACAATTCGTCCACGAAAGAAACGTGAGGAAGTCATAATTACAAGACTTTGTCTGGGACACTGTGGGTTAAATGCTTACCGCGGTATCATTGATAAAGAGGTCTCCCCTGCATGTATACACTGTTGCGAAAATACTTCCGAGACAGTGAAGCATTATTTACTTAAATGCCCAGGCCACAGGTCACAGGCCCGTGAAGATCCTGTTGGTTGGTTTGTTGTTTAACGCTGCACGCAGTAATATTCCAGCTATATGACGGCGGTCTGTAAATAATCGAGTCTTGACCAGACAATCCAGTGATTCATAACCCATGCTTGTCGTAAGAGGCGACTAACGGGATCGGCTGGTCAGGCTCGCTGACTTGGTTGAGGCATGTCATCGATCCCAATTGCGTGGGTCGATGCTCATGATGTTAATCACTGGATTGTCTGGTCCAGACTCGACTATTTACAGACCGCCGTCATATAGCTTGAATATTGCTCCAAAATCAACCAACCAACCCAGGCCACAATTATTTCAGATTAAATTTAAGAAACAACTCATTTTCTCTTATGACACTTTTGGGCCACAACATATTTATGGTTCTAATCAGCCGGCAATATTAGACTTCGTTACTGCGGCAATATTAGACTTCGTTACTGCGTCAGGAATATTTGACATATTGTAGAAATCAAATGCATACAGACATTGTGTATATTGACTTTTTAACCATTTTTACACTTTTCCTTTTTCTGATCTGGGTTTTTTTATGGATTGAGTTCTTACTTTCCAGAAATGAAAAAGTGATTACTTGCTGTTTCAATCGGTCTTCAGCAACCCATGCTTGCCGTAAAGGGCAACTATGCTTGCCGTATAAGGCGACTAACGGGTTCGGATGGTCAGACTCGCTGACTTGGTTGTGATGCATGTCATCGTATCCCAGACCCGTGAAGATTCCGGGGTAGAATAGTTCTTCAGCAACCCATGCTTGCCGTAAAAGGCGACTATGCGTGTCGTAAAAGGCGACTAACGGGATCGGGTGGTCAGGCTCACTGACTTAGTTGATGCATGTCATCAATCCCAATTGCGTGGATCGATGCTCATGATGTTAATCACTGGATTGTCTGGTCCAGACTCGATTATTTACAGACCGCCGTCACGTAGCTTGAATATTGCTGAGTGCGGCGTTAAACAACAAACCAACCAAACCAATCCATTTAACCCTAAACAGCATATTGTGATGTCACGTGTGTGTGACAGTGATACACAATTACCCGTCAATACCTTAGTTTCAGTTTTAGTTGATTGCAAGCTACTCATAATATCAATCATTGGTTTGTCTGGTCCAGACTTTTACAGAATACTTACAGTCAGCTTTATCTATGGCTAGCATAATGCTGACTGTGGCATTAAACAAAAACAACAAAATAAGAAAATAACTTGAACAATTTATTTTTGTTTGTGTGTGTGTGAAGCCCATTTCTGGTGTCCCCCACCATGATATTGCAGGAATATTGCTAAAAGCGGCGTAAAATAATACTCACACACTCACTATTTCTGTTTTAAGTTATATTTAATGCACCTGTATTCTACTTTATTATAATTAATTCATTAACAAAAGTTAAACATTTCACACACAGTAATATAATACAGCACATATTTCAAAAACAATTTGATTCTTCATGCACTATAGAAACTAACTCACTTGAGACAATCTTTCTCCAAAAGCCCATCTCACTCCCACACCCACCCTCCAGAGAATTCAAATAATTACTATAAAACCTTCAATGGAAGTATTTCTTGGAAAGATTCTCAATTTCTTCTGGAACAATAAATCACATTTGAATACATGAAGCTTGAAGTTTGTTGATGCACCCCGTATCCTTGAAGATCTTGAGATCTTCACTTTTAGCAATATTCCTGCAATATCACAGTGGGGTAACCAGAAATGGGTTTCACATGTGACGAGCGACAGCTTTAACCACTAAGCTACCCTTATACCCCTGTCAATATTTACATATACATTTTCCAAAGAACACCAAGAACTGCTTTCTTGTCTTTTGCCCATTTTGGGAATCAAACTTATGTCTAACAGACAAACACACCATCCACTTAGCTAACCCACAACAAAACTTTTTGTCTGTCTGTTTGTTGTTTAACGGGGCACTCAGCAATATTCCAGCTACATGACGGGGTCAGTAAATAATCAAGTCTGGACCAGACAATCCAGTGATTGAGCATCAATCTACGCAGTTGGAATACGATGACATGCATCAACCAAGTCAGCGAGCCTGACCACCCGATCCCGTTAGTCGCCTCTTACGACAAGCAAAGTCGCCTTTTATCATGTTTATGGCAAGCAGTTCTTCACAGATCCTTTTTTGTGTGTGTTTGCGAAAACTACACAACAAACAAACATAGCTATACCCTAAATTGACCATGCATCTTATAAACGGTATGATGAAACAACAGCAGATAAAATGTAAATATGTACAGCAGTTATAAAAAATATCATCAATAATTGTATATAATAATATAACAACTTACGCAGATGAGTATATAGGAACATACCTTTAAATTGTAATATCCTGCATCTCTGACCGAGAAAATATATCGTCATTATATACTCACAGACAAAAGAAACCCAAAAACCATACATGTTGGTTAATATATGAAGAGCTACTCATATTCAAGAGTTATTAGATTGGTTTGATGCACAAACGAGTGAGTGAGTATGGTTTTACTCCGCTTTTAGCAATATTCTAGCAATATCACGGCGGGGGACACCAGAAATGGGCTTCACACATTGTACCCATGCTGGGAATCGAACCCGGGTCTTCGGCGTGACGAGTGAACGCTTTAACCACTAGGCTACCCGAACATACTGGTATGTTGTGTGATCCAACACTCATGAACATTTCATTTGTTCAGATTTCAAAATTTATTTGAGAACTGTGTCAACATATTTTTTCAGCATCGTCTGAAATGGAAGTCGCCAGGTTGAAACGAGCGCCGTAAAGTTCGAGAAAGCTGCTTTCTTATTGGCTGACGTCGACTTCTTGTCAGTTTTTTTAAGTGGCCGGTCAAAGTTTGCAAAAGGTCGTTTAGAGCTTAGATCTGATTTTAATGAGATTGGGACAAACGAGGTGACTGACAGTGTACTGTCACGACAGTCAATAGGAACTACGTCCCTGATTATCCAAAGTATCACATCACCATTTTTGTCATTGAGCTGTACACAGTGGAAACATCTCTTCTTTATGTATATTTCTCTATGTTTCTATGGTTCTCGTTTCTTTTGTCAGTGAGCATATTGTACAAGTGCAGATATAAAAACATTCTTGTAGAACAATTTGACTTACAGGCAAATATAAAGAAAAACTTCCAAACACACAGTTAAAGTGTACAAAGTATACATGTCTGGTATAAACAAAACCATAATATCAGACGGACATAAAATCTGCCCAGAATATCAGTAAAGCAAGACATCTTCACAAGAACATGTTTGTCTTGTGCCTAAGTCAAGTTCATAAAATTTATTACCCGAGTTCTAACCAATGTTACACTAATATCTGTATGAAATATTTTCAGCTGATCTTAAGAGACCTTATGTTGTGTTCAAGATTATGGCAGCTATATAGTGACATGCATGAAAAGGTGTGTGAACATGCATGCACGTGTGCTTGTTGGTTGGTTGGTTTGTTGTTTAACACCGCACTCAGCAATATTCCCTCTATATGACGGCGGTCTGCAATTGGGATCGATGACATGCATCAACCAAGTCAGCGAACCTGACCACCCAATCCCCTTAGTCGCCTCTTACGACAAGCAAAGTCACCTTTAATCATGTTTACGACAAGCATGGGTTGCTAAAGACCTGTTCTAACACAGATCTTCACGGGTCCTTTATTTTTTGAGTACGCGAAAACTACTTCGTTTAGAGCTTAGATCTGATTTTAATGAGATTGGGACAAACGAGGAGACTGACAGTGTACTGTCACGACAGTCAATAGGAACTACGTCCCTGATTATCCAAAGTATCACATCACCATATTTGTCAGTGAGCTGTACACAGTGGAAACATCTCTTCTTTATGTATATTTCTCTATGTTTCTATGGTTCTCGTTTCTTTTGTCAGTGAGTATATTGTACAAGTGCCGATATAAAAACATTCTTGTAGAACAATTTGACTTCCAGGCAAATATAAAGAAAAACTTCCAAACACACAGTTAAAGTGTACAAAGTATACATGTCTGGTATAAACAAAACCATAATATCAGCAGGACATAAAATCTGCCCAGAATATCAGTAAAGCAAGACATCTTCACAAGAACATGTTTGTCTTGTGCCTCAAGTCAAGTTCATAAAATTTATTACCCGAGTTCTAACCAATGTTACACTAATATCTGTATGAAATATTTTCAGCTGATCTTAAAGAGACCATACATTGTGTTCAAGATTATGGCAGCTATATAGTGACATGCATGAAAAGGTGTGTGAACATGCATGCATGTGTGCTTGTTGGTTGATGGGTTTGTTGTTTAACACCGCACTCAGCAATATTCCAGCTATATGACAGCGGTCTGCAACTGGGATCGATGACATGCATCAACCAAGTCAGCGAGCCTGACTACCCGATCCCGTTAGTTGCCTCTTACGACAAGCATAGTCGCCTTTTACGGGAAGCATGGGTTGCTGAAGACCTATTCTACCCCGGATCTTCACGGGTCGCATGCTTGCTTGTAGTAGTTCCAAACAGGATATCCTCAAATCCTTGTTTGCAGAAGTGAGAACAAAGATCTGACTTTAATGAGGTTGTGTCGCAAAGCTCAGCAACATGATTAAAAATAGAACCAATAGGCTGTGTATCTCACCTGAATTTGACTGGACTATTTGCATTATTAGGTTTCAAGTCATAATAAGCTATGAAACAACTTCGCTATATAAGTGCAATAATCTTGGACACAACCCTAAACCCCATTTCACCTCACCTATGCAAACAACAATAATCATAATAATAGGCCTAGCTGGATAAAACAACTCACATAAAAAGCCTCATTGTGCCAACACAAGCCATATTGGTTCTGATGAATAAACACTGTAGGTACATCAAATCAGAACCAAATACACATAACATTCTACTTATTCCCACCAATGCCCAATGCACATGCACCCAAATTAATACATCGGCGGTATTGTATTCAACGGGACGCAATGTTCATCGACCCAGTCAAGAAACCGTGGTGTGAATTTCTTCACTATTTTCAGTAATGCAATACAATCATCTTCAGCCGTATGCGCTACTTGTGGAGGGTGACCAAAACATCGTTTGTATACATCTTGTAATCGGTAGGACTTTCGGGGGACACTTTTCATCGCCACACTTCTGCTAGATGAGGTATTAGAACTGTCTGCTCCATTCCGTTTAGGTTCAACCGCTGAACAAATATGGTTGTCATCTCTGACAGAGTTATTGTTCTTGACGTCCATGGCTCTGACCATAGTGACCTTGACACTGTCACTGCCCACTGAAAAGACCTTATTCCTTGCCTTTTCTTCCTGTTTCTCCATATTCTGAACAGCTTCAAGAAATGCACCATCGGGTAAGCTACCTTGCGAGCTGAGTTCACTTACGGCTTTCTTGTTCTGAACCATATTGTATATGACTGTGGCCTCAGAGTTTAGCCTTGGTTGATCAGAACCCGCAATAATTGACTGAGATCTGTGTTCATCTGCATCAGAATCTTCTCTTGATGGATGGGATAGGACAGATTCTTGGCTACTCGTCAGAACCTGAGTGTTCTGTGTATCAGAACCAATGAGAACTGCATCATTGTGCGGTGTGCCGGAACTACTGGGTCCTGTCGACTGGTTCTGTGTATCAGAACTGCTCAAGGATCCTATATTAGGGTTCTGTGTTTCAGAACTGCTCAAGGATCCTATACTAGGGTCCTGTGTTTCACAACTGCTCAAGGATCCTATACTAGGGTCCTGTGTTTCACAACTGCTCAAGGATCCTATATTAGGGTCCTGTGTTTCAGAACTGCTCAAGGATCCCATACTAGGGTTCTGTGTTTCACAACTGCTCAAGGATCCTGCATCAGTGTCCTGAATACCTGAACTACTGGGTCCTGTATTAAGGTTCTGTGTACCAGAACTTCTCAAAGGTGCTGCATGACATGTATAAGGTGCAAGCCTGCCAGAACTGCTCACAGATCCTCTGTTCTGAGTCTGAGAGCTTGACACAAGTCCAGTCTCAGTCCCAAAGCTGATCCTAGTTCCTGTATATCTGATGTCAGAACTGCTAGTAGGGCATATACAAGATTTCTTCGTGTCACAACCATTACGATCCTGACAGGCTTCCCTATCTGAAGCACCAACAAATGTAGAGATTTCATGATCCAATCGCCTTTTTATTGGTAATCTAGTTGCTTGAGGATGGACAGAGTCATTATTCTTCAGGGATTTATGGCCCAGGCCATTGTCTGCCTCCATCTGTGTTACAGCCATCAATAAGTCCTCATCCATAAAACTTCCTTGGGAGTCCAGCTGTGTTTTAGTGGCTGCCTCACAAGAAGCAGTTGGGGTGTTAGACAAACCTGTGCGAACTTCACAAGTTGACGAGGTGTTTAGTTGAGAGGGGCGAGGATGCTGACTGGCCTCAGAACCCGTTCTTCTACCCCTGTTGTGAATCTGTGGCTTGGATGTGGTGGTGGTGGACTGCACAGAGTTCGAGTTGTTCACTGTCTCAGATGCCACTTTGTCAGACCTGGTGCGAGTGACACAAGTGTCTTGGGACCGATTTGAACATGGTGAAAGAACATTTACCAAGTCTTTTGCTACTTCGGGTGTCAACTTACAAACAGAATCAGTGTGAATTGACGATTTGAAATTTTCTCGAAATGAAGATGCATCTACTTCATTTGTTTTTGAAAGGCTGACTGCTTTTTCCAGACTCTTCCTGCCTCCTGTCACACTTCCATTAGCTTCCTCCTTATACAATTGTCGGGCAGCCTTTTCACGATTGATATTTTCAAAAAGTGACTGGGTCTTACTGAAATCTTTTTGGGGCTTCTTTGGAATATCTGACTGATCATCTGAGTTTTGTCTTTTACCAGGTGTAACCTCAGTGATTTCCCAGGTTTGACCTCTGACCTCAGCTGGTGACCTTGGTGTGTCAGGTGGATCTATTTCCCTGAAGGCTAATAATGAATCTGCACAAAGTATGTCATGGGGCAAGGTTTCATCTACCTTCTCCAGCTGTGCAGCTAGCAAGGGGAAGTCGAACTTGTCGCCATTGTGGGCAATCAAACATGTCGGCTGTGCTTGGGTTTGCAGAAATCCTCTAATCACTGCTACAATTTCACTGTTGAATGGCTGTTGTCTGTCAAGTGCATCATTGAACAACCCTGTAAAAATAACCATTAAGATTTATGTCAATTATATATCTTCTAGTCACACAACAACCTTTTTCAAATGAATACACAATGCGACATAGAAAGTGGTCTAATGTAACAAATGTTATATTTGGGATATCACTTTCTTAGTAAAGTACAAATTACAGTACTTTCTGGGGTTGAGTCCCATCCTGGATTCGAACCCAGACTTTCAGAGTGAGGCAACGCCAGCACACAAAGTCAGCGATCTAACCCACCGAGGCTTCCACAAAATGAAATTCCAACAACTGGTAGTCTAGCTCATGAACTTTGTGTACCCTCTGACAAGTGTAAATTGACATGGCTCCTCTCATGGCCAAAAGCTATGAATTCGCAATGCCATTTAGAAAGTGGTCTAATGTAACAAAAAATATGTTATATTTGGAATAACACTTTCTTAGCAAAGTACAAATGTCAGTATACTTTTTTGGGTTCAGTCCCATCTTGGATTCGAACCCACTCTCTCAGAGTGAGGCACCTAATCGCCAGCACACAAAACGCTAGAATTTGTACTTTACTAAGAAAGTTCGGCCATGGGAGCCATGTCAATTTACACTCGTCAGATGGGTACAAAAGTATGTGATCTAGACTACTAGTCGGACTTTCATTTTGTGGAAGCCTTGATGGTTAAGTGGGTTAGATCTTTGTGTGCGGTCGATTAGGTGCCTCACTCTGAGAGTTTGGGTTCGAATCCCGGAAGGGACTCAACCTCCAAAAGTACTAGAATTTGTACTTTACTAAGAAAGTATCCCAAATATATCATATATACTCCGGACAACAATGTACTTTTCCAGCAGAGGTCATGACGCGAAATGAAATTATGTGGGAAGAGCTCCGGGTCAAGTATCCTAACTGACTGAAGATACGATCAATTGACGATGGATAATCAAGAATGATCCTGAATCTGGATTCAAAATATCACCTGTTAACATGCTTGAACCAGGAGAGACTTGTTTTTGTGGGTTAAGGCACAGCTGCAGCTTGCTGACAATCCGGGGTACTGTCACTCCATCTTCAAACATGTCATCTCTGTGCACACCAAGGAGGCACAGCTCGGTAATCTTTGGATTGCCGTACGGCCCAGGTAGACCAGTCGTCTCCGTGTCAAATATGACGTAACTTTGGGGTTTGGATTTCATTTCACATGTAGCTTCTGCATCAGTCTTGTTAGATTCCATTATTTTTCTGAAATAAATTCCAACTTTGGATTACGTTCTGTGACTGTGAAGACGAACAGCTGGGGAGATGATCTCTGAAATCAGCTGTGAATGTCGAGTGTGATACGCTGTGCCGTTGAATTTCTTGTGGCGAAACTTCCTCTTCTCATCCATTTGAGGAAATGCATTTCATAATTTACAATATTCATTCCTTATTGAAAATATGTCCGTCCTTTTAATATACGGACGAACGTGTTTAGACACGCCATACCCGGAAATAAACAACCCCACGTTTCGTGCTATATTTGGAAGGTATTTCTGAATGTTTTGAGCTCCTCGCAGCGATCGCTGCGCTTCTTTATACATTTCATCGATAGAGACTGTTCAACATGCACGCGTTGATATGAAGCTTGTGTTGGCATTTGACCATGGACTATTTTCGACATGACTATCTATATATTCGTAAGAACTCAAATAGACATGAAAGGACATTTGAACAAAATGGCCAACAAAATTAACGCATAAGAATAGTTTTCGTAATTTCGTATGTGCTTAGATAAAAAACATTATGTGTATTAACGATATCTATAATACATGTATTACTTTTGCTGAAGGTAAATTCAATCATTTCTGTGGAAAACTACTTACATAGTCTGTTTTTTTTCCATGGAAGATTTGTCTCTCGTTAACAAAACACGTTTTAATGAAATAGCAATTGTTTCGATGTAAGCTTTTATTTTGTAAAAATAAGTACCAACTGAATTATAAGCCTAGAAAGTATAATATATTTGCATGAACCCATGGACGTTGTAATCTAAGTAATGTAATAAGTTTTACGGAAAATACGTTCTATTGCGGCAGGTGCTTTCTTCCGGTCACGTGATAGCTATTCCGTTATACTGGTTTTCTCCCTTGGTGTAGTGTATTCAATTCTTGTTCTTACGTTAATAGCTCGGCACCTGTACATCCCACTGTGTTTTATATCTACAACAGCTCTTAGTTGAGGTTGAAAAGGGAACAGTCTGTGAAAGGCAAACTTTATTCACACGCACCAGTGTTATTAATTGAGCTTACCGCGGTTTTCCAACGATCGAACAGAATCCCCTGAAGGTCGTATGTTGTCGGAGCCATCCCAGTAAAGTAATAGCGGTATTTTAACAGGTAAGATTGCTATCGCATAATATTAAAGTAACCTATTTGAGATAAATATATTTGAAATCGTTTAGAGGCTTTCGTGCTTTGATCACGTTTAACATCATACCTTTAATCACACAGATATGTTCGGTATGCAGCACACCCAACTGTAGATTGGCTTGACCTGGTTTAGCCGGTTTACAGGAAGCGTTAAGACGCGCATTTCACATCATTTTGTGACAGTATCTTGAAGTTTAACAGTTTTTGTTCATAATGCATTATGAAGCCACCTTTATGAAACACTTTCAGGCAAAATGAATGTCTCTGATTCACGCTTTGACTCAATGTATCTGATGCATAGAATTATGGCATCTGATGAGTAATTTAGTACAGAGGCCTGTTTAGGGTTATGAAATGTTCGCAAATCATCAATACCTGTCACTCATAAGAGTTTTCATTTCAAGCTGTAGTAATTTCAAGATATATAGAAATATCATGTAATTGTATGTAGACTGCTGTTTGATATTTAATGGTATAAAAAGCTGCAGAGAGATACCAACCCACTCTCATAGCAGTACTGTTTGAGAAATGTCAGTATGATTCATTCAGAATCAGTAGTGTACAAATTGCTAACCAAATGGCATAGCTTGCATTCTTGCTTTTTCATCTCCAACTTTATATCAGTTGTGTAATATATTACTGATCAATGTATCCTGTATACTTAAACTCACAAGAGTATGATTCATTGCCAGCTGCTGCATCTAATGTATTGACTGTAATTTCTTTTGATAGAATGTTATGTAGGTAGTGTTCCAAGACTAAGGGGGAATATACTGCATTATCACATATGCCCAGTCCCAATCTAGGGCAATACGGTTCATTTGTAAAGACTGAGACATTTTTTTCCTGAGACACCCTTTTTTCATATTTGTGTAAGTGACATGTTTCTCACGTGACGTAATTTACTGTGGCGTTGTGTTGAAAGATTGGTGTCTTTTGATGGCAATGTTTGTTATGTACTTTGATTTGATTGTGTATTATCATGATTTAGGAAAACTAAATTAAACAAAACATTTCCAAGCCAAAACAGTCATAACGTATGGACACACTCTAAAATGTCTTATATTCTACTGTCTGTCATGTTTGAAATTAAGGGGGTTTCTGGAGTTTCGATCCCCGGCAGCGTCATACAAAAAAACTTTAAAAGATAATACTTGTTGTTACCCTGCCTGGCTACAGGCATTATGGGACTACAATGAGGACTTGTCATCTCGGAGTCTGTATACTGTGTCTGACTAGGGTATTCATTTTAAACTGCGCTGTGGTATCTCAGTGGACTAGCACTATAAAATGGGCATTAGTCCGGACTAGACCAAGCAGCCACACACACATGCATGCACATCAGTGTAAAAGTGCAATAATCTTAAAAGGAAAGTTATGCCCCTTTTCACCTCACCTTGACTTTGATGCTTAATTTCGAACACAGAGAATATACCTATAAAATCACCCAAACTGACAGACCACATAGCTAGTGCCAATATGCTTCCCTGCCAACTCTTTAAACATTTTCTGTATGTAACAGTTTCTCAGTACATAGAGCACACCTGTCCATTTCAAGCCAAATTAGATCATACCTTTTGGTGTCATGACTGTTGGGCTATGTTTACTAATTATTTCATATTTACAGTTATGTCAGGGCACTCAATGATCAGCTCAGAGATATAACTGTGTACAGAGGCTAAACCTTGGCCTACATGAACAAACAATAATATTTGGAAACTGCATTCAGACAAGTAAATTTTAACCATGATAAAAAGGGTTCTAAGGCCTTAAATTAGTGACTCAAATTTTGAATTATGTGTCAAGAAAAGTCACAATTTTAAAGAAATAATGATGCATGCCTTACTGAGCGGAAATGTGACAGATTGTGAATTGTGTGCATGTTGCAACACTTTTGAGAATAAAATACAGTTCATCTTTGGATACATGATCTAGGTTGCATTTGTGCAGCACATCAGATGTGTATGTTTGGTAATTGCGGTTATGAATCTTTATTTTCAATCTGGAAATAACAACACAGTAAAGAGGAATTTACAACATGTACAATATTTCTTCTGGGAATTCCTGGGAAATACCAAATGCATATTACCTGATTACATAACAGGCTAATGATCAAACCTCCAGATTGCCTGCCCCAAGTCTTATCATTCTGAGTTATATCATAGCCTGCAGGCAGCCTTACATCATTGAACAGTGGCTGACATCCAAATCAGTCCAGGCTGCTAGGCTTCCTCTCACTGCAGTGGGTCTTCGTGACCTTTAGCTTTCAGTCGTGCATCAGCAGCCCCAGGATATAGTCTACAGGAAGGTAGTGGCTATCATTTTGTCAATTACTGCTTTGAACTTTTCATTTAATTTACTTTGATGGTTCAGCATTTATGTGATGGATTGTGTACCGTAAATGTTGCATTTGAACACGTTATGTATGTAAAAGATAATATGCAGTAATTGAAATTAGGATTAAAAATCAAGGTCTCTGTCACTTCCCTAATGTGAAAAGCTTTTATTTAGGGGTCCATTGATTTTAATACTATGGCAGCTAACCTGAAGTTCCAAGAGCCGTCTCAACTGGTATAAGTGCAGTGTGATCATTCCACTGATAAAGTCGTGTAGTAATGTTTATGATTTGATGTTGAAAGTATGGCACTTCACCGATGTGCATAGTAAGGAGGGGTGGGTGGGAGTCCCTTTGGGGCTTCACTATATACAGGTTTTCACTGAGCAGTTTTTGGAGTAGACCAAAGGAGTGGCAGGAAGAGAAATCTGCTGCCTTGTACTGGTTCAGTTGGTTGTCTACGACCTCTAGAATTATAAACATTGCCTTGAAAGTAAATTTAGACTGCTTGACCACTGTCTGATTCCATCCTGCTTGTATTATTTATTTTCAAGCACCGAGTTAAGCATGATTAGAAGTGATAGTGGCAGACTCCTTCATAATGGATTCAGAAAAGGTCTGTTTATTCCAATCAATATTCTTTGCAGTCTTGCAGACAAATTTAACTTTTTGCTAACTCAGTAATTTTGCTAGAAACATTTTGAATTGGATGACCATATCGACTTTTGATAGGACTTTCTTTGTCAGTGTTTTAATTTAAAGAGGTTCTTGGAGTGGTTTCTGCTATGGTATGTGCATCTTCACACCTAAACGCCCCACCCCCACCCAACATTAGGGGTATGAGAAAGACTTCTTGATTTTCATGCTTATCTTTGGACAGTGTGCATCATTACTAAATTTTTAAAAATGTAATCTTCAGGATGATTTGAGATTAGTCACCAGTGATCACAGAATCAGTTTATAGAAAATAAACTGATCTGAAACCCTGTGATTTGAGCTATCTATCTTGTGCTACACTCACATATTGGATGTTGTGAGCCAGATGAGGAATGTTTGGCTGTGTGTTCCCCTGGCTGGGAGTACATAAGCTATGTAGACAAGATAGTGTGGCATTCCTCCTGGGAGTCTTACAGAGCCCATCCAGCTGCCTGCTCCTTGCACCAGTCTCAGGTTACACATCTCACTGAGACAATGGCCCACTGTGGCCAGTGCTAATGGTGGTTCATTCATGGGGGTCAACTTAGCTGTACTATGCTACAGTCTGCAAATTTAGCCACTAGTCTGAAGCCTGCATCTATTAACATTCTGTTCTAAACTGAGCTAATTTTTCTCCTTTTGACATCTATATTAACATAAGAATCTTCGAACAATGATGTTGAGAGCCAAATGCAGGTTACAAGTAGACTCAAAAGTGTTTGGCATAATAAATACATCCTTTCACAGTTGCCATAAGCCATAGATTTACCTCCCTTACTATGCTCTTGTAAGCAGTGAATATACCTGAATCAGTAGCAAATTTGAAGAAAAGTTCTACTGTGGATGACAAATGTCATGCGAATAGGTCAAATGTGAAATGATTTTAATCAGTAGTAGGTGGTGGGTGGGGGGTTAGTCTACTAGAGCTTTGGGGGGGGGGGGGACTTGAATAGGCTGTGGAATTATGTTCTATGTGTCTAACATTCTGTATGAGTCCTGCATGTATATACTTATGATCTTAGTTAGTCTGTATCTTTAGCCACTAATCTTAAAGGCTGTTACTGGTACTCAAGTAAAAGCATATTCTTTCAGCATGTTCAGTCTATTTGTTACTGTCACTTAGTACACTTAGCTTGTAACAGGCAATATGTAAACATGGTAAAGAGTTATGGTGTAAAATATTTTAATAAAATCCTCGTAAAGATGCAGAACTCTGAAGGACAAGTTGTGTTGTCACCAGTTATGAATTTATTTTTTTATTATTTAGATTATGATTTTCAACAATATTCACCTTCTCCAAGCAGTCTCTGCTGAATTCAGTGACCAAAAATAACAATTCCATTGTTATAACTTGTATTTGATAAATTCTGCTGCCAATTTATGATGATGATGATGATGATGATGATGAGTCTTCATTGCTGGTAATATTTCTGACTGTTTTCAACATGTCCAAATTTAAATGAGTCTCAGCAAATGACTCCATTTTGTTCCCATTAGCAAGGTGGCCGCCCTGAAATACAAAACCATGATATCATGATTCACAGCGTGAGACTTGTTTTGCTGGACCAGTATCCTACCCCACCCATTGGCTTTGCTGATCTACACTGCCTCATTGAAGGGCTTCTGCTCCATTGCCCCATGCATTGGTACTGCTTCCCCAACAACTGGAGTTAGCATCTTCTTTCTGTCTATATATTCTGTGTTGTCACTGTTGTGTTACTTCATCTGATGAAAAGTGAGAGAGAATAGGCATAGCAAGGTTAAATATTTAGATATGGGCCATTAGATTCAAATAGTATAGATGATCTCAAGGACCCCAGAACCCCCTTAGTTTCGATAAGAGAATATTATATATTTTTGTTGTTGGAGATAAATGCAAAATATCCTTCCTTCTTAATTATCTTTATGATGTTAATCACTGTTCTCTCTCAGCTAGAAGAGGTAAAATCTCAATACAGGGGTAGCAACTAACAGTTATAGTCCTTACAATGATAACATATAGAAAAACCCTTAAAACAGGGAAATTTCTACTGGTCCCTTTGATACCATAACTATTGGACAGATTGACAAGGACTATAGGACTAGTACCAAGTTCTAACACTGCAATACTCAATAATCACAATATTGCTTTGTCAGTAAATTGTAAATTATCTTTACAGGTATGTACATGATGTAATTGCATTGTTCTGGGTAATTTTCGACTTACTTATCCTAAAATTCTTAGCATCAACTACCATTGTATGTATTTGTGCTAACTCAGCAGTGTGAAAATACCTGTTTATATTTCATTCACTCAACCTGGTAGCTTGAGGCTGCTGTATGGTTATGTTCATGGGCTTTGCATGCTCAGGTGAATTCATTGTGGATGAACTGGTCCTGTTTGCTGTACTTCCTCGCTATAAGGCAGACATTCCCTCAGTATAAGGTGGACATTCCATCAGTGTACTATAAGCATGATAAGGTAGAGGGTGTAGCCTTATTCAGGTATGGAAGTATGTGTGCGCTTCACTTATTCCAAGCTGTTTTGTTTTATTTGCTTAACTTAATAACTTGTGTTTTGAGATAATTTTGTAGCAGGTGGCACTGTTTGTTTTCCCCTTGTTGCATATAAATGTTTATTCATAATTTCATTAATAGTGTATATTGATTTTCAAGTTTTACAATTCTCAACAATTCTGGTCCAGTTGTTCCATCGTGGAATTATTTTTGCCATCATTTAACCAATATGCAATGTAATGATTTTAGTTCATGTAAAATGTTTGATTACTAATGCTGTCACAAAGCCTAGCGTTATATTGAGGTGCCGCAGCAGGAGAAGGTTATTGTTGCACCTGTTGACAGAGTGAATCATCAGAGCTAGTCTGGGTCAGGCTCGGCTTGTCAATGTCATACCAGCACTCCTAGTGAACGAATGTATTGATTATCATAAAATACCCATTCACAATGTCACGGTGCAGCTATGAGATAACCTGAGCTTTCTATAGTGCGAAGGCATTTTGAGATTCACTCTTTCAGTTTATTTAAATTCATTGAATCTAGTTTTCCATGCAGACTTGTATTCAGACCAGATTGGATGCATCTGAAATGACATTGATATGGTGATGAGAATGTAATGTTATCATGGTTATCAGCAATAGAAATTGACATTAGTCCTGTTGTTCTTGTCAAACTGTCCACTAGTTAAGTATCATAAGGATATTGCCATTTTAAAAGGGGTTTACTATATGATTTCATTATAGGGACTAGTGGATTAAATATTAGTTTCTATCGCTGGGCGCTGGTTGTTTAACATTACATGTGGCAAGATCAGTTATGGATGCGTTTAGTTTGGGTCCAGAGGGATGACTGACGGTCCATCTGTTGGTATCTATAAGTTAGCACTTCTGAGTCAAATACAAGCCCAAGCTTGTGATTTACCATTATATCCTATAGTTTGTTGTTTAACACTGCACAAAGCAAAGACTATTCAGTGATTGTAATTATGAGCATCGATCCATGCAATTGTGATAAGATGATATGCATCAACCAAGTCAGCGAGTCTGACCACCCATTGCCGTTAGTCGCCTCTTACAACAAGCATAGTAGCCTTTTACAGCAAGCATGGGTTGCTGAAGACCTGTTCTAACCCGAATCTTCACGGGTCCCAACTAATTACCGATATTTTTAGTAGGTATCAGGGATTGACTTAATTGTTGCTAATTAAACAATAGGGTGAACCTGGAGCAATAGTCACTGTATATTGAACTGTCACTTCTAATTAATTGAAAAGTCCATATTGACAAGATTTCATTTGATATGGTCAGAGACCCGGCCTCTGATATGGTACACACTTCAGATGGAAATAAGATGGCAAAATTGACGAAAGCACTGGAACATAAATATTATAATATATTTTTTTGCAAACAAACTGTAATACCATTTACAACAGGTGCTATTTCATGTCATCACTCTAAATATATTGAATTATGATCTAAACACACATTGTCGAAATTTGTCGAAACTGCAGATTATTGTCTCCTGCATGCCAACGAAATGAACAGCTGATGGTGGTATACATGCCTCCTAAACGATCTATAATTGTCCTCGCGAATAATTCCCCATCAAGTTGGCAATGAACATAAATACATAAATATTAGTGTAATTTCTCCTAAAAAGACAAGGAACAGAAATATAAGTCAAATGTAATTTTTTGTTAATACTAATGCTAATATTTTTAAAACAATGTATTCGCAGTGGAATAATTAATGTTTGAAAATAGGATATCTGAGGATATATCTATATAATCTGGTAAAATTACTTGCAATATTATTTAAGTCACAAGTACCAAAAATCAAATACAGTTTCCCCACTGTGTGAAGATGAAATAGCTCTGAAAATTAGCAAAATCACACGCCCAAAAATCTCTTTGCTTTTGGACCAGGGGAGATTTTCTCTCATAGCTAAAAATGTACAGGATAATCCCTGAAGTTAAAGTCTTAGTATATGGACTGGTACAAGTTGATCTTAATATACCAGGATGTTATTATAAATACAAGTTAGGGGCTTCGGACAAGTGAATACGATCAGACTGTTCTTTTATGGTTACCATGGTAATGCAAGTTGACATATACATATTTACTTAAATTTAATGCTTGATGCCAAGCACAGTAGAGTTTACAAGTCCGACTAGTCAGTGGACTGTTGTCTGTTATATTATATATATGTCAAAGTGGTGTGTAAGAAATGTATAAAAAGATTTTTTGTTGAGATGGGTGCTCAGTTCAGAATGTCCATTTTACATGAAATTGAAATGTATGACGCTCTCTGTTACATTTTGCCTTAGTTTTATTTTATGATTTTAACGGACGGTTCATGTGGCAGAATTGACACTAAGCATGTAAGACTGGACTGAACCAAGGTTTGTTTTTCTTTGATCGTTGTTTTGAAACAACCGCTTGATGGGTGTGATATTCTAGAATAAATAAGTTTTAATTTCATGAAATTTAGGCAAATGAAATTTAATTTGTGGCCAACAGACATGTAAATGTATTCTTACCTGGCGCAGTAAACTGTAAGCCTGATGAGAATGTTTTAGCACCTGGTATTTTCAGAATTTCTGATGATACCATGCTTCAAAATATTAAACTTGATATTGCCACTGACCACTGCTGACAGATGTTTTCCAAGATGTTTTTTAGGAATTCAACAAATTTCTTTATTCAAAGGAATGGCCTAGAAATCATGAAACTGCAGTAAAGGTCATGGTCACGAGCCTGAAGCCCTAGTCTTGTAAACTTATGTTTGGTCTAGTTCTCCAGCTAATTATAGTCAAGCCAATATAGATAACACTACTGAAAATGACGCTTGGAGGCAAGTTAAGGTTATTAGTCTAAAGTTTTTGGCACCGACTGTGGTCTTTACATGTTCATGGAAGATGTATGTATTCTTAAACCAAATGACGTACGGTCTGGGTAAAGGTTAAATATTGATGTCTAAGGCACAGTGAAAACCCTTCTTCATGGACATTAAAGCAAATATTTTGTCAAGAGTGTATATCATTTTTCAAGCGCCAGCTACTGATTTTCCTGTTCATATCATTGTAAGGAATTGTAACAATGCATTTGGATGTTTGCTGTTAGAATATTTGCATGTTGATTCTTCCAAATATCTTCACACAGAATATTGATACATCATTAGCACTAGGTCTGTGGGTGTTAATCTCATTTCTGTCCACTCAGCATACCAAGCTAGGTCTTTTTCAAATATAAGCAGCAATGTCTCGAAGACTAAAAAGTGTCGTTAGACGCTTCAGAGGTAAAAGCAACACCAGAGCCATTTTTGAAACCCACTTCAAACCTCCTTTCAACCTAATGAGACAGTATATGATAAAAACAGCCTCCCACGGCAGTTCCACTGGAGACAGAAATACGTCGACCATCTCTCTTCAATTCCTTCCAACATGACATAATCAGATAGCTTGCCTACTGTGGCTTTAGTTCCTGCAACACTGCAGAGCAATGCAAGCACACTCTATCGATCTGCCTGAATCAGTAATGATTGCAGATGGTTGCCGTGGCAACATCTCCAGCGGATCTAGCCAGCCAGCTCTGGCAGAGTATCAGCAGCAATGGTTTCCTCGGCTGTCCGACCCGACCACGGCTGCGCTACCAGACTGGAAGTATCGATGTAGATGGCTCTGCCTCACTGCTCCCTTGACTATTCACCAGCCAACAGTTGTTCCGTGAGGTGCCTTGGGGTTGTGTCTTTCTACCGGCAGATTCCAGCGGATGTTTAAATGTCCATTTCTTGAGCAGTTCCCAGACCTGTTTTTCCTAACTGTCACCCTCCTTCTGTTGGCGTATGCTATCTACTATGGCCTTTTCTGTCTAACACTTTACCTCCTCTCCACCCAGAACAGGAGAGGTATGTACTAACATCCAGTAACCTTCAATATCTCAATTTTAACTCGTTATGTTGAGAGTGACAAGGGCAAACTGACTAGTCAGCACAAAATGCTTAGTTGTCAAAAATATGTTTGGGCTGTCTTTTAGTTTTAATCATTGTTAATTATTTAATGATCCTGTTTCGTTTGTCTTTTATTCTCTAATTGATTTAAAATTATTGTTATTAGTGGTAGACACTTTTATTTACTTTGCTTTGTATCGTATACGATGTTTTATTCAATCCACAAATATGGTTTCTTATTTGTTTCATTTCATTCTGAGGGTTGATAATGATATGCTTGTTTTGTTAAAAAAAATCAGCCAGAATAGAATTCCTATGAATATAATGATAAATTTGTCATGAGCGCGGTGCTCTTAACACCAGCTGAAGACATTTTCAATGTGGTTTAAATGGTTGCAGTAGGCACAGTATTTCTATGGACAAAGTGAAGGAAGTACGAAGGGGCGGATTCTTTTGTATTGCAACATATACAGGTCATGATCTGACATTGGTTTTTCTAGACCTGCTTCGAGATCGATATTCGGCCCCAAGTCTGCAAATGACGGTAAAAATTCCCATATTAGAATTAAACATTTCCTGATCTTCATGCTGTTATAGTTGTAACTAATGTTATAAGGTTATGGCTTTGTAGAAATGTCTTGTGTTTCTCTTATAATGTGACCAACAGAGGAACAGGCTTTAATGCTTAGTTTTACATTACTACATCGAATGCAACGTTAAAATTCAGTGTTAACATTCAATGTTAAAATACATCTGGAATTTTAGAAAAAAAATGTTTTGAACCAAGGAAAGATTCTTCCAAGTTTGCTTGCCAAAGAGCACTTAGTTTAGAATGTTAGATATTCCCCCGTCAGATATGACACTATTGACAGATGAATATTTACTTTTCTTCTGAGAGACTCCATTACAAGCCTCAATCGACCCGTGAAGATCGGGTGTAGAATAGGTCTTCAGCAACCCATGCTTGCCGTAAGAGGCAACTATGCTTGTTGTAAGGACTAACGGGATCAGGTGGTCAGACGCTCGCTGACTTAGTTGATGTATCATTGTATGTCATCATATCCCAATTGGATCGATGGTCATGATGTCAATCATTGGATTGTCTGGTCCAGACTTGATTATTTACAGACTGCCGTCATATAGCTGGAATATTGCTGAGTGTGGCGTCAAACAACAAGACAAAAACAATAAAAGAAAACAATCCTCAATCCATACACCATGTATACATAATGAGTTTTCAGTTCTTGATTGTGACTCATTTCTAGTGTTCAGGACTATTGTTGCCATGTTGAACAAAGCAGTCATAATGTTGCTGCTTTGCCTTGATATGTTATTCGCATGCTATGCCATCCTTAATCGTTGTTCTTCATCCTTAATTTACATCAAGGTTTCTAGAACATGCAGAATGGATTGATTATTGATGTCTCAGCTTGAAATTGAGGAATGTTTACATGTTTTGCATGTTTGTGATGTAGCTGAACATAGTTAAAACTATTTTCTTTTCAATTTGGGTGACATTTTACAAAAGTGAAGATTTTGAATCTTTCACCTTCCTTGGAATTTACCTGGTTGTCAGACAAAGCCTCAAAATTGTCAGAAGTCATTTTATGTTTGTCTAATTTAGTTTTTGTTTGTCAGTGTTATAAACCAACCAATAGACAACTGAAAGGGCCTTCTTCCTTAAAAGGGCCTTGTCATGAAAACAAATTCATTTTATCCCAAACACTAGTTAGTCCTTTAGACCATTGCAAATTATAGACTTGCATGGGCTGATTTTATATATATTTGTATCAGGGTCTGTAAAACAGACTATAATTCATCCTAAAGTCCACAATAAACAGAAATACCTAAATATTTATGTAATTAGTATTTTATTTCAGTTTTCAATGCTTATTGGTAAGCAAGGCTATACCTATATAATCTCGTTATTGTTCAAGTCACAAATAACAAAAATCAAGTACAGTTTCCACTAATATACAATTCCAAGACTAGAGCTATGACTTGTACAGATTGTAATAGTTATTTGATAAAAGATAATTTCAAATGCTTTTGGCTACCTACAATATTGGCATGAATGTTACCACTCGCTACTTGGACAAAAATGCCTGGCTGAGGCCTGGGACTAGTTTGATTTGACAAATGGTGACTATCTCTGAACTGTGGCCTTAGATATGTTCGTGATGAAACTCCTGTGATTTGTCTCGCTGAAAAAAAGTGAACTTGGTTAGGAAATATATTTAGGCCTACTGCCTTATGTTTTGTTAATCAGATCAAAGACATTTGAAATTCATTTAATTATAGCTGTAAAAGGTCACTGTGGCCCATCACCGTCTAGGTCGAAGGAACATGCCTGGGCAGTCGATAATCAAAGCGTTGATCCCTCATTCTGAGCCCCCTCATTCCCTGCACTTACTGCTGGAGATTTTTGTGGCAAGATTGAATTAGATCTTCCACATTATGGGTTTCAACGGCTTAATCAATGACCAGACTGACTGATACTGGCATTAGTGGGAGACACAGCCTCCATTGATATCTATGGTGTGTCGTGTGAATTATCTGTCAACTTGGTATAGCTGGAACAAATTGAAAATTGATGTTAATGTCTTACTTATCATGTCACTTGTATCATGTGTATCAGTCTATGCCAAACAAAAACTTAGGATTGACTAGCCAGAAATTGGCTCTTACAATCTTTAGTACCTTGTTTGGTATTTTGTAAATTTTGTAATCTCACGAGATCGAACAGAATTCTAGACTCAGGCTTCGGACTAGTTGTTTAAGTTGCAGACTTTCATTTCATTCATGGTTTATTTTCATAAGCTCTAAGATCAGTGGTTAAAAATGAGCATAGAACTGAAGAAGAAAAATCTTTTATTTGGATGTGTTAAAATTGTGCTTCTGTAAAAAAATCACTTCTGTTTTGACCATTCTACATGGAGCTAGCTGATATTGTTTTTAAGATACTCTAGAGGGACAAGACTTCTAAAGCATTTTAACATGGCTCCGATTGTAATGCTATTCGATTAAATAGTTATATAGGTATGAGAAGAAAACAACTTAAAATGTACCTGTATTTAAACCATTTTTTCTAAAATCTTCTTACTAAGTACCATGATCCACCAACAGTTAGATGTTACATGGTACATGGAGTTGCTGTCTAGGATAACATGAACGCCGACTCACAGTAGTACTGCAGTGGTGAAGATCCGGGGTAGAATGGGCAACCCATGCTTGCCGTGAAAGGCGACTATGCTTGTCGTAAGAGGCGACTAACGGGATTGGGTGGTCAGACTCGCTGACTTGGTTGATGCATGTCATCGTATTCCAATTGCATGGATTGATGCTCAATGTCAATCACCGGATTGTCTGGCCCAGACTTCATTATTTACAGACTGCCGTCATATATCTGTAATATTGCTGAGTGCAGCGTTTAAGAACAAAGAGAGAAAGGAGAAAGTACTATTGTGGAACTCTGAAACAGCATGACCTTAAGGTTTCCCTCGGGTCCTTATGGTTTGCTCCTGTGGTATTTGAATCTAGCATGCCTAGTGATCCATAAGTGAAACTTTTAACATTAGTTATGACAAGGGCCCCTTCACTTTCCTTTTTAATTTAGAACATTGCTGAAGACAGTGCTACAGTATATCAGGTACGCCTTGTACTAGATACCACACACTTGTGGTAAGAGGCGACTAACGGGGTCGGGTTGTTGTCAGACTGGATGAATAACAGGCCTCCCTGAAATAGCTGGAATATTGCTGAGTGCAGCATTAGACAACCTCACTCACTCACTCACTCACTCACTCACTCACTCGCTCGCTCGCTCGCCCGCCCACCCACCCACCCACCCACCCACTCTATTCACTCTCTCACTCATGTCAACTGACCCTTAGGTTATGACGAGGATCCTGTGAATTTCGTTCTTAGGTTCATACACTGCTGTAGACAGTGGTTCAGTATGTCCGGTACAACACCAACCCCAGTGTTTAGCTGGTTCCAGTGATTCTGGTGATTCAGATGCTGATGATGTACCAGATTTCATAGTTACTTAGTATGCAGAAAGTGCCACACTGTTCAAGCACGACATACCTGTATGCCATCTGTTGCACCTGTAACTCATTACCTGGCAAGGATCAATATTGTCATGATTGCTTTTTCAGCAAAATTTAATGAAAACACATTATGGTAGCTTTATGGCAGATAATATTTACTGCGGTCGACTGATGATGCTGATCATGTTGCCTACACTGAGTCATTTGGGTCGAAGGTTATGTTTTAATTTGTAAACATAACCCACAACTCAAAATGAATTAGTTTTGGTAACGCTAACCATGCTAACAGTGTTAGTATCAACTGTAATATTAAATAACTAAAAAAAAATAGCGATACATTATCATGATAAACCTTATTTTATATATATATTTAAAAAAACCAACTTATATCGCTAGTCCTGCTTGAACATGAAAAATGTGTTAACTATGTTTACATTTTCTGTCAGTTTTATTCCATTCCTATTTGTAGCAAATTTAAATCATTGAGAACTGGTTGAACATTATTGACCTCAGTTGCTTATGATATGAGGAGTACCATCTTTGGAATTTTTACTTGTCCTCTGCACAATTTAGTTGGCTCGGGCTTGCTGAATAGCATGAATTTTGAAGGCTGATGATATTAAATACCAAATGAAAAGTCAGAAATCTGAACATGTAGAAAAGATGAATCACATATTTTAGCAGTCAAAATGGTGGTTTAAGAACATGGTAGAATGTGTGTACAATTACCTTTTACTCTCTCAGATCTTGGTTCTCGCTGCTGCTAAACCAGGATCTGAGGACATACCAATTTATTACCATTACAGTTGACCAAACATTTTAAGTTGTCCAAGACAATGTGTCTAGTGTACACCGTCCCCGATCCGGTAATCCAAAATGTTTTCTGTTTGTTGCAGACCCAGAAGATGTCGACGACAGAGGTCCAGCCTCGCGAGATAAAGATCCTCGAAACAGCAGAGGACATTCAGAACAGGAGAGATGAAGTGCTGTCCCGTTACACCAACTTCAAGTTCAGCTGCCGGGACCGCAGGGACCGTCTCGAGGACTCCCGCCGATACCAGTACTTCAAGAGAGATGCTGACGAACTGGAGAGTTGGATCCATGAGAAGCTGCAGACTGCCTCGGACGAGAGCTACAGGGATCCAACTAACCTGCAGGTAGATACTCTCAACTCTCCTGGCATGTTCAGACAGGGATTATCTTGGCCTGCTCAGAGGTCTGCAGCCAGTGTCAGTACAAATTCTCTGATTGGGATTACAGTTCATGTAGTTATAGTTAAGACCAATGCTATGGTTTGGTGGAGGTGGCTTGTATTTCACAGGCTTTAGTGCTTAGTTTTACACTAAGGCGCTCTCAAGGCGCTCTCAAAATTAGACGTAGGGGCCTCTTATCAGAATATTATTTTGGTGAAAAAAACAGAGTTGAAAGATAAATTTTTTGGTTTATGCTGACAGCCTGAAATGTTTATGTACGACAGATATATTTTTCCAGAATTTAATTGCCAATAATAAAGGGTGCATATTTCACACGAGTGCATATTATATGTGAATAGGAGAAGGAAGCTGTGCGTATTATATGTGAAAAGGGGTCTGAAGGGGTGCTAATTGGGATTGTTCAAAAGCCAATATATTAGCAAGTCTCGCCACAGTCGCTTATTAGAGCGGGGCGCTTATTACGCCGAATCGGTACCTCCTAATTTGAGAAAATGAAAATCTTTAGCAAACATCCCAATTTTGAAAAAGTGATGAGTTTTCCCAGTTAACCTGCCAAGTGCAGTTAGTTTAAAATCCTAGATTAGTCCCTGGATAGATAAGCCCTAACTGTAACGTTTTTTGTTTTGGTTTTTTTTGCTTGAGGTGCACCATAGGTTTTATTGCCGCCTGATAATGTCCGTAGTTTTTTGCCACTAGCCTGAATTTGTTGAACTTTTCTATCGATAAACCAGTCAATACCCTTATTTGAAATCAGGCTTTTTTCCAACATTGTGCAACTTTCCGTATTTCAAAGTGAAAAGACAACTTTAGAAAACCCAAGCTACCTACTTTATTTTTGGATGGCCTTTTATAGAGTTTACCTTCTTTCCAGCCTATATGAAACAGTGTTCTCGCTGGCTTTTGAAACTGACAGTTCTAGTGGACTGGCAGCTCTAATAATTTACCAGTCTCCCCCTAACTTTCAACAAATAAAAAATGTATGAAAATTACCTGGTTTTCAACATCATGTTCAGTGCAAAGATGTCATCTCTGAAATAACTTAATTAGATCTATTCACACAAACTTCAGTCACAAATTTTTCGAGATGAAGCCACTACAAAAGGATATTTAACCTCGAAGCAAAGCAAAATGTTATTTCCTTGCAATAAAAATAGACACGAGGAAACCCTGATGGTAACAGACAAGCTGACTTCATTCAAAAAATGTATTTTAATTGATATCGCCAATGTTTTGTTCAACAACAAAGATTTATATGGTACTAGTTTGCCGGTCCAGAGGGACTGGCAGTCACCTGAATTACCGATCCAAGCCTAATTTTACCGGTATAAAACTGCTAATTACCGGTAAACAGGATCACTGGTGAAACAGTTTAATTTGTGATTTTTATTTACTGGTCCTGAATGAAGAAATTTGTACAACATATTTTCATTGCTGGTTTTCTATATTTTCAAATCACATGTTCATTTTGCAATATTTTGCTCTTTAATGTACGAGTATACTGAGTTGGGTTTTTTTTTCAGGCTAAAATTCAGAAACATCAGGCGTTTGAAGCCGAGGTTGCTGCACACAGCAACGCCATTGACGTCCTGGACCAGACTGGAAACGAGATGATCACCCAAGGCCACTTTGCGTCCGAGATCATCAAGGTAGGAGGACAATGTGGGCATGACGGAGGTGATTGATCACGATGTCTGTCTATTGTAGAGTCTGAAGTAATTCTCAATTTCCCAGAAAGAGGATCCTTTGATGTGATATGTTCAACTGTTAATGGTTGTGTGAAGACAATATATATCTGAAAGAAGAAACAAGATTGATATTGAAGTACTGTAAATCTTGAAATTAACATGAGTGTGAAGTAAATGTGAAAAATGCGAGTGGTCTTTGCTCGCATTAACTAAACTTCACATTTAGGCGGCCTCACTGCACACTTTGGATAGTGGAAATACCAACCTGAATATAAACACAAACAACTGTATTCCACATCACGTTTTTTGAAGCAGCAGATGTAACAAGCATCTAACAATGTCTTGCAAAGAATAGAAAGCACACAGTAAATATTGTCTCATTTTTGGCTTGGAGTCCGCAGTCATATTTATCAGTGTTCCCGCTGGCTTTTGAAACTGCCAGTCCTGTGTTTGTTATTGATGCATCTTGATGAGATGTGCCTCCTGTGTTTCTATAATGTCTCTCCCCTCAACAGGAGCGCCTCGATGAGCTGCACCGTCTGTGGGAGCTGCTGCTCCGCAAGCTGTCTGAGAAGGGCCTCAAGCTGCAACAGGCGCTGCGACTCGTTCAGTTCCAGAGAGAGTGCAATGAGGTCATGTTCTGGATCTCTGACAAGGTTAGTCATCTATATTCCTATTGCCAGATTTAGAAATGATCTCTCAAATCCCACATCTTCTCAAAGAGGTAATTCTGACTTGATTCCCCATGCAATTAGCTACTGATATCAAAAGATCAATTATTATTGATTATTGATCAGTTACCCTGATAATGCTCCTCCTCTTTTAGCCTCACCCCACACACAAATGCCCCCACTATAGTTTTCATGTTTGCAGTTGCTAAGGAATATTAATTACGTGCTGTTGATATTGCAGGAAGCATTCGTGACGTCCGAGGAGTTCGGACAAGACTTGGAACATGTAGAGGTACTGCAGAAGAAGTTCGATGAGTTTCATAAGGTGGGTAGCACTCATACTCAGACAGGAAAGTCTTCTTGACATCAAAGAAAAAAACAACTGTCGATGATACAAATTTTGATAAAGCAGTTCTTTCTGAATTTCTAAACGTAACCATTACTTGAAGTTAATTCTATTTCAATTTCTTGACAAGTCTGCCATTACTTGATTCCAGTGAACCTTATACTTATTTAATGCACTTCATTTTGAACAATATTTTTGGATTGTTAATGTTAACAATTATTTATTTCAATCAGTGCTTGACAGATGGGAGTGATTTAATCCCATTTCTTGATCATAAGTTTCACACCCAAATAGCATGAAATCAAGCATAAAAAAATAAATTAGACCTAGTATTGATATTAATGACCATTGTTTCTGTACATGTTGATATTGTTCTTTACAAATGAAGTTCTCAAATAATATGACATTTGCTACATTTGGCCACTTTCTAAATGGCATTGTGTGTTCATGTTGTTGATGGTTGACATGTTTTCTTTGGCAGGACTTGCAAAACCACGAGGACAAAGTGACAGAGGTGAACAGCCTTGCAGACAAGCTGGTGGCAGATGGTCACCCTGACGAGGAAACTATCAGACTGCGACAACAGGTGAGTCCTTGCCTTGTATCTCACTACAGTTTTCTAAATCCTTTAATATGTTTAATCAATTACCTCGTGATTTGATTCACTTCGAGAAGTAAGACCTGTTTTATTACAATATGGATCAATCAGATCGTCTTCACTAAGGGACACCATTTTATTTGAAGCAAATGCAAGTGATATGAGAGGTGGAATCTGATTGGTCAATAACTCGTAATAGCCAGTGGTGGTGCTAATATCGAGCCCAGCAATTCCAGTCTATTTCGACAAGGTTTGAAACTGGACTTTTATAGTCAGTTAACACCCTTGCCTCACAACAGTTGAATAGTGTATCACTCCATAACAGCTATTGAAGTGTATGTCGCTTTATTTTAAGGGTATATCTTTGCAGTTGAAAAGTGTTAGTGTTGAACTGTGGCAGCAGTTGAAGGAAAACATAAGCCAGGAGCTGAACTAGTCGGGTTGTAATACCAAAACAAGTTCCGTTCCTGTTCATGTAGAACAGGAAGCTCTTGCAATCAGTGTCAGTCAAGTTGTCCCCTGTGCAAAAATTATTTCAGCTATGACTGGTGATAGGTAACCATGTTTTGTTCCTTTAGTACATTTGCTAAATGTGCTTATTGGTGTGCTTCAGGAGGTGAATGAGGCCTGGCAGCGCCTGAAGCAGCTCTCCCTGCTGAGACAAGAGAGACTGTTTGGAGCTCACGAGATCCAGAGATTCAACAGGTCAGTATGATGAAATAAATCTGTTGACAATCCTGTTCAACAAATGATCTTAGTACTATGGAATAATGACACTCAGTCCCATACATTCACGACCTGTGAAGATTCCTGGGTAGAATAGGTCTTCAGCAACCTATGCTTGCCGTAAAATGTGATAATGCTTGTCGTAAGCGGCGACTAACGGGATTGGGTGGTCAGGCTCAATGACTTGGTTGATGCATGGCATCTATCCCAATTGCGTGGATCAATGCTCATGATATCAATCACTGGATTGTCTGGTCCGGACTCGATTATTTACAGACTGCCGTCATATAGCTGGAATATTGCTGAGTGCGGCGTTAAACAACAAACCAACCAACCAAACCAACTTTTCCACATGGTCATAATACCAATGCCTTTATGACAACAGCTTTTTAGAGTAACCTCCCTTGCTTCAGTCACCGCCCTAAGTTAATATTTGTTTCTTTTTCTGACAGAGATGCTGACGAGACCATCTCATGGATTCAGGAGAAGGATGCTGTGCTGTCGTCGGATGACTTCGGACGTGACCTGGCCAGTGTGCAGACTCTCCAGCGTAAACACGAGGGAGTGGAGCGCGACCTTGCTGCTCTGGAAGAAAAGGTACAGTCATGGTCCTTGAAGATGTGAAAACTTGGCCCAAACCTATTGTGTGACATCTTATGTATAACCTCCGTGGGGATTCCGGGTTAGAATTGGTCCATTGCAAGTTATGCTGGTCGTAACATGCGTCTTGATAGATCGGGATGTCAGAGATTTGGTTGCATGTCATCCTACCCTGACGTCGGGATCGTTTCTCAGACTACCAATCACTGGATTGTCTGGTCAAGATTTGATTATTTACATTCTGTCGTCATACTGTAAGTTTGCCAAGTCATACTGCAAACAAGAAATACACAGTGGAGAGTGTACACTTCTTACAAGAGAGCATCATTGTGTGATACAGAATAAAGGCTCTATAAAAGAAGTGCAGGGATTTATCTTTGATTTCAAAGTAGCCTTAGCCGGCAAATTAGGAGCAAATTGTAAATATTGTTCACGATGGAAAAAATCAAGTGACCTGGATCGTTGACTTGGTTAATGGCGACTCATCGTATGCCGATTGTGTGGATCATTAAAGTTTGTCTGGTCCAAACTCAATTATTTACAGGCTGCCATTATTATTGGAATATTGCTGTGGGCGTCAAATTTCAAACTGTTCAAATAAAATGTACCGTTTTTGGATTAATGAAGTTTGTAGTTTCCTGTGTTTTTGAGTGGTGTTGTCGTGGTTACAGGTGACAGCTCTGGGTGCCGAGTCCAAGAGGCTGCAGGAGATTCACCGGGAACAAGCTGGGCAGATCAGTGGCAAACAGAACGAGATCGAGGAGAACTGGGATAGACTCAGGACCAAGGTACGATATGTTTAAATGTGCAGGCTCAAAGCCTTGATCCTGAAAGGCTCTATATCCTGCCCAGGGCTATGATGCCATGTATCTACATGACCAGTTAACCATCACGTATTTATGAGAACACAGAAATATAAAGGGAAGAGATTATCAGTTTTAGAAACAAAGTCATGAAATGTTTATACAAATAGAAAATAGAAATTAGAAAGGTCTCCTTTGTATTTGGGTGATCTGAACACTGATTTATTTATAGAGCAGAAATCTGCCTTTGAAATTGATGCATTGCAAGACTGCAAAGTTGTGCTGAAGTCAAGTGAAAATCCAATAATTTTTTGTGTTTTTTCTCCACTGCACTTATTGCAGGCTACGGTTAAGAACAGATTGCACAGCAGATAAATTGCTGTACCATTTACTTTACTGGAAATTTAAGCGTGTACATATGGTGAAGATTGTCAATCTGTAGTATATATAAACAAGTAAAAATAAACATTGTCCAAAATGAAGGTTATTTTATTTCAGTACGTTTGTTCTATACATGGTGTAAATTTGATGCAAGTGATATTTATTAGCCTGTTTTTAACCAGCACCAGAGCAGTCTTGTCAATGGTAATCACGTCCAGTTATGCCTATCCCTCTGACTGTCTAGTGTAAAGTCATGTCCTATTGTTATAGGCATCGGGAAGGAGGTCTCACTTGGATGATTCCTACTACCTTCACCGTTTCTTGGCGGACTTTCGTGACCTCGTGTCATGGATCCATGACATGCAGGCAATCATCGCTGCTGATGAACTGGCCAAGGATGTGGCCGGCGCTGAGGCCCTACTGGAGCGCCACCAGGAACACAAGGTAAGATGGGAGACATGCTGTTCTTGTTGTTAAGTTTGTTAAGGTAAGGGGGGTTGGGGAACATGTGGTTCTTCTTGTTAAACTCAATCATTGCTTTGGATCTTTCTTTAAAATAGAAGCAAGACACTGAATAGATTTCCTTCTGAAAACTCCACATAACAGTCGAAAGTGTGGCCCTAGCCCATGTCTGTCATAGTGAACTCTGACAGCAAAATCGGGGCGGTCGGGTAGCCTAGTGGTTATAGCATTTGCTCGTCACGCCGAAGACCCGTCCCTTGCCGTGATATTGCTGGAATATTGCTAAAAGCGGCGTAAAACCGTACTCACTCACTCACTCACTCACTGACTGACAGCAAAATCAACAGGATCATGATAGCATGCTGAGAGTTCACTCAAGAGTTAAGCTGTTCATTCTTTCAAGACATAGTATCTTTACCATTACAAAATCTCAAAATGGAGGACATTTTTATATTCTTCTAGTTCGTGAAAAAAATGATATGATTGTCAGATATTGGTTGTCATATTGTAGATTGTTTGGTATGTATCGGTGCTTTTGTGCATACTCCGCTTTCATCTCCCAGGGTGAGATTGATGCTCGCGAGGACAGCTTCAAGTCAACAGCTGAGGCTGGGCAGAGATTGGTTGACACCAACCATTACGCCTCGGATGAAGTCCATGAAAAGGTAGAGTTACATGTCTAATTAATTGCACAAGATCTGCAACCTAATTTTCAGTGTGCATGGCGATACAGGGTAGTTTCGTAATCTTCAAACTTGCCGGGATGTAACCAGTCCTGTTTTATCTAAGCTTGATTTTCTTAATTAGGAACTTAAATCTTACAATTATATGTCCCCGTTGTATGTCCCCAGGGAGTTGAGAATGAAATTTGAGTGCACGCTTATCCATTGACTAAGGTAAAAATGTAGCACTGTGAGCATACCGGTGGGCAATTTGGTGTTATGAAAATGAACTCACGGAACCTTTGACCACATTGTTTTTTCTGTTTGTAGCTGGACGTCCTGCGTCATGAGAAGGACAGTCTCCTGAATCTGTGGGAGGAGCGACGCATTCTGTACGAGCAGTGCATGGACCTGCAGCTGTTCATCAGAGACACGGAGCAGGCTGATGCCTGGATGACCAAGCAGGAGGTACGTACTTGCAGGACCACCTCTGTGACCTTCTGGAAAGAGGACTAGGTTGGTGATCTGATTCCCTGGTCCCATCATACCAAAGGACGTTAAAAGATGGTACTTGTTGTTACCCTGCCCGGCGCTTGGCATTAAGGGGATATTTTCAGAGGTATCAATTGTGAAGCAAGTGTAATCAGTCATTGTCTTAAAGACAAATTGTTTTAGGATTTTTGTCAGTGATTTTGTCTTCCATATTACCAAATTTGAAAGACGTCTTTCATTTTGGATGACCGTTGATCGATATCCTTGCAAATGAAACACTGTGTAATTGATGCATTGAAGCAAGCAACTGGGTTTTCGGTACCCTGCTACTTGATGCTATAGTGAACACATCTCTCTGTTATCATGCAGGCTTTCCTGGCCAATGAGGATCTGGGAGACTCCCTCGACAGTGTGGAGGCCCTCATCAAGAAACACGAGGATTTCGAGAAGTCCCTTGCTGCACAGGAGGAGAAGATCAAGGTATGTTGTAGGTCTAGGAAGTACTCAGCTGACATCTGATGTGTTGGCCAGCTGCTCGCTTGACACGTCTATCCCCTGTGTATAGTGCAACCTTATTAGTCTGGACCCTGTTTGTTGACAGTTCTGTCCAGATTAATGGGTGTTCACTGTATCACTGTCTGGATACATTATGATGACAAATGCCCATTCAGTTAATGTTCGGATTAGTTTTCTTTCATTGAAATAGGCCCGTGAAGATCCGGGATAGAATGGGTCTTCAGCAACCCATGCTTGTCGTAAGAGGCGACTAACAGGATTGGGTGGTCAGGCTCTCTGACTTGGTTGATGCATGTCATCGATCCCAATTGCGTAGATCGATGCTCATGATATCAATCACTGGATTGTCTGGTCCAGACCCGATTATTTACAGACCGCCGTCATATAGCTGGAATATTGCTGAGTGCGGCGTTAAACAACAAACCAACCAACCAACCAATCATTGAAATAACTCTCAACGTAATCCTACATTTCATTGTATTTTGCGCATCAAGGTCACAGACATTTTAAGCCCATTCTTCTTTTATGCTGTTATAATGAAGCTTGTTTAGCATTTCCTTAAAATATTTATTGGCAAAAGTATATAGTTATGGTGTCAGGATGATAACATTTGCACATTTAGATATGTTCATAGCATTGCCTAAATGTGTTTTTCCAGGCTCTTGACGAATTTGCAACTAAGCTGATTGAGAGTGAACACTACGCCTCTGACGAGGTAGCTGCCAGAAGAGACCAGGTGGGTGCAACAAAAATGTTATCTTTTGTTACTTATTTTAATATTACCTGTAGTTACCACTGCCTTTAACGATGTTAAATGTAGCTACTAAGTTTAATGTTACCTGTAGTTAACTGGGTTAAGCTCTAATTGTACTCTTGTCATTAATGATGTTACCTGTGGTTACCTAGTGTAAAGTTACCTGTGGTTACCTAGTGTAAAGTTACCTGTGGTTACCTAGTGTAATGTTACCTGTAGTTACCTAGTGTAAAGTTACCTGTGGTTACCTAGTGTAAAGTTACCTGTGGTTACCTAGTTGAAAGTTACCTGTGGTTACCTAGTGTAAAGTTACCTGTGGTTACCTGTATTAATCTCTGTTTACTGTGTTCCAGCTTCTCCGCCGTCGCAACATGCTTCACGAGAGATCTGAGCAGCGCAAGCAGAAACTGGACGAATCTGAACAGTACCAGATCTTTGAGAGGGACTGTGATGAAACCAAGGGCTGGATCAATGAGAAACTCAAGACAGCCTCTGATGAAAGTTATTTGGTGAGGCTGCCCCTCTTCGGTTGATCTTGTCGAGATTTGAGGATAGAACACCCTGTGATGTATTGTTGCAGTGGAGATACACAGGGACACCCTCTGAAAAGCCTGTAATTCTTCTAGTCCCCAACCTCTATACCTTCAGGGCTAGCATATCAGTAAACCTACAGGGGGCACGGGTGGCCCAGTCATCTAAGGCACCGCGATTCGCTGTGCAGAGTTGCGTCCCTTGGGCACGCCAGAAACCTATGATTGTGGGTTCAAATCCCGGTTCGCCCCGATTATGTTTCTAGGTTTGTCAGCAACATACCCGTGCTCGTGGGTTTCACCGAAGTAGTAAATGTCTGAGACCTGCATCACTTCGGGCTTTCCTCCCACATTAAGCTGACACGCCGCGATATAACTGGAATACTGTTAAAAGCGGTGTTTTAACCCCAACTCACTCATTCACTCAGTAAACCTACACTCACCCCTGGATACATTCTTGTTCTCACAATCTCAAATTACCTGCCCTTGATTTTCATTAGCCATTCAACATTCAAAAGACACGCAAAAAAATCCCTAAAAAATCTCTTTTTGGTGGAATGGATGTCTTCATATCCAACTCCCTCTCCCATCTCCTTTTCCTTTATACCTTGATGTTTGATTGGTCGGTAAAATATTAATGAAATTCAAGGGCGGGTAATTTGAGATTGTAAGAACTGCAGGAATGAATTCAGGCTTTGAAGGGTTAGTGTAGGTTTACTTAAATACGAGCCCTGGAGATACAGAGTATGACTAACCCCATAGATATACTAAACATTAAACGACTTTTGACTGGTGCTAAATACCAAATTATATTAAGAGATATCTAATTTACAGTAAGACAACCTCAAATTTAAATTTAGATTTATCTCCTTATTTTACCCCAGTGCTATCAACTCCTGGTTTTCTGGACGATTACACAATATTGTGAAACGTACCATCATATGACTTGTAGAACTACATTCACTGACTCTATCAATGGTCCTAAAATAACTACTCTACTTAAAACAAAAGTAACTTGAGACATCTTGCAGTAATTTCATGTAACCTCTCGTTAAAACTTGTATAAGTGTATTGATCCATGAAGAAATATTTCATTTTATTTGCGATTGTCATATAATGATCCTACTTTCCGTCGTCAGGACCCTACCAACCTGAACACCAAGCTGCAGAAACACACCAACTTTGAGGCCGAGCTTGACGCCAACAAGAACCGTATTGTAACGATCAAACAGACAGGACAGGATCTCATCGACAACAACAACTTCCAGTCACCGGCCATCAAGGATCGGCTGGATGAAATTGACGACCTTTGGGCTACTCTGCTTTCACAGACAGAAAAGAAAGGTATGTAAGAATTGACTTCAATATTTTTAGGGTTAATATGCAAATATATGCAAATGCCATAGAATCACAAATCATTATATATTCATGTGAGATTTGTAATGTGTCAGTAGCACAAGAGTCATGTTAAGATTTGTTTGTTTTGAATGATGTGAATAGTAACATTAATTAATATGGGTTGAGGGGCGGGTGGGGTAGCCTAGTGGTTAGAGCGTTTGCTTGTCACACCAAAGACCCGGGTTTAATTCCCCACATGGGTACAATGTGTGAAGCCTATTTCTGGTGTCCCCTGTCTTGATATTGCAGGAATATTGCTACAAAGCCGCGTAAAACCATACTCACTCACTCACTCACTGTAATGGGTTGACTGTCAATCTTTTCCTATGACGAAACAGGACAAATGTTGCATCGTACAAGAATGTTTTAATAGGGGGGACATGGTCGGCCCAGTCGTCTAAGGTGCTGTGATTCGCTGTGCAGAGTTGTGTTCCTTGGGCATGCCAGGAACCCTGATTGTGGGTTCGAATCTAACCTAAGGGACATAACTCTGTACAGAGAGTTGCGGCTTCTTGGAGATATAAGTCCCCTGTTCTTGTGGATGGAGCGTATGCATGGAGAGCGGAAGGTCGGTTGTTCGATCCCTGGTCGCGTCATACCCAAAGCCGTTAAAAGATTGTACTTGTTGTTATCCTGCCTGGCGCTAGACAGTAAGGGGAGAGAACTCGGGAGTCAGTGTACTGTGTCTGGCAGAAGAATGTACTTAAAGAGGACTTGGGCACAGCAGAAAACTATGGTCGTGGGTTCGAATCCCGGTTCGCCCCTATTACATTTCTAGGTTTGTCAGCACCATACCCGTGCTCTTGGGTTTAACCGAAGTGGTAAACGTCCGAGAACTGCATCACTTTGGGCTTTCCTCCCACATTAAGCTGACACGCCGAGATATAACTGGAATAGTGTTAAAAGTGGCTTTAACCCAACTCACTCACTGTTCTATTAGGATAAATTGTATTTTTATTGGTAAATAACTGAAATATGTTTTCATTAAAATTTGTTTTATGCAATGGAGTTTAACATATGTCATTGAAATGTCTTTCCGTAGTATTTCAATCAGTACCGTACATATTTTGAGAGATATCTTGATTTCTTGATCCAGTTCATTACATCTTTTGAGAGATTTCTTGATTTTGTTGCCAGGCAACAAGCTGAAGGAAGCTGCCCAGCAGCAGCAGTTCAATCGGAACATCGAGGATGTCGAGTCCTGGCTCGTTGATATCGAGGGTCAGATTGGTTCTGAAGACTACGGCAAGGTAGGTTATCAAGCGTGGCCTCTTTCAGAAACCAGAGTATTTCTACCTTGCGGATGTCTGACTAGTGTAGATTCCTACTCTAACCTTTATTGGTTCCGTTTCCTTTTGTTGATTTTTATCTCTTAACTAATTCTGTCATAGTTGTATTTAAAACCATTATACTTATGATAAAGCAGTGATTGTTTCCCATTCCGCTAATGGTGTATTTATAACATAACAAGTTGGATTCCTCGTATCTATGCATGGAGATTAACATGTCTGCAGTTATAATTGTAAAGTAACTAATTTATTACAATATCTTTTTTAGAGTTGATTTACAGAAGCATGTTTAACATGTGATTATCTTTTTACAGATTCTAACCTTTTTTAAGTTTGCTAATACCATGACTAGACCAATGATAACAGTACCCTTAGATTTAATGATCCCATAGTATCAACTTGTGGGTTGGTCCACCAAATTCCCCTCAATTTCCCATTTTCCCTCTGAGCATTTCAAAATGCTGTGACAGTTTCTCAGGAAGTTTTAGTCAGTAAGAACTAAGGGCAGGTAATTTGCCCTAGGTTGTGAGAGTTGTCTCCCTTTGACAATGAAAAGTGCCTGAGAGATTGTTCAGTCACTTTGTTGCCTAACATCTGTCCGTTCATTTGCTTCAATCTTATTTGGTTTTCTTTGTGACTTATGACAGCTGACTCAGAGACAAGTGAGTGGAGGTTCAACCAGCTGCTATTACATCTTTATATTTGCATAAAGGATTTACAACTAATGAACTATTGCCAAATTGATGACTTATAAATCAATTCTAATGCCTTTTTCTCTTGGCTTATTCTAAATGTCTTATAACCTGTGTTAATAACATGTTAATATTAATTGAGGCCATTTTTGAAACAAACTAGATCAATAGTATTGATTTTCTCATATTGTTATTCATATCTGACTTTTTTGTGCTTTTTCTGTCACTGCCATTACTTAAGCATTGTCTTTGTTTTTTAACAGTTTGTCTTTTATCAAGACCTGTAATATTTCTCACCTTTTAGTTGTCTCATGAAAAAGATTAAATTTGGCTGTACTAGCTAGTTGTAAATCCACTTCTTTATAAGGATATAGTAAACAGCGGGTGTGTCCTTATTTCAGGTTATTCTCCTACATTCTTATCACCTATTTTTCCGAACTGTTTTGTTGCATCAATTTATTGTTATGCAAATATAAGCTTGGTTTCAACTTACTTTGTCTTTCCTGCAAGTATGTTTGTATCCAATGGCTACATACTACATATCTAGAGAAGCGTTGAGTGGTAGACGTTATGTAGGAAGGGGTAGTGCTAGGAGAATGCTTGGTGTATGGTCAATGATTATTAGCTAAAGGAGAAAGTGTGCATTTTGACTTTAGAATATTGTAGTATTATTGCATACAAGGGGAATGAAAAGGTTGAAATTTGATGGAACAATTGTTTTTATTTATAAATATTTGCTCTGAATTAAAATTTAAATGAAATTACCTCTTGTACTGATATTTAATATTAATATTTTGAATGAATTCGATTTGAACATGAAAATAATATATTCAAGCTCAAGAGAATATATATCTTAATATATATGTTTTTGACACAAGCACTGATATGTTTTCATCCCTTTTGCATACATAGAACATGTAGAAACAGTATAATGTAGTATTGGTGTTAGAATCACGCTTACCAAGTCAGTAAACTCGGGAATAACAATAGCACCATCATGAAATGCTGCCACCTAGTGAGACTAGTGTAATTATACACCCACCACCTTTCACTTGTGATTTATTCGGTTAATGAATTTTGCATTAATTGCTAACAATACACAAGTGTGATGTCCCGACTACTTTTCACATCTTGCATTATGAATCATAACCTGTTGATACACAATTGACAACTTACTATCATGACATATGACCTGCTGGTAGTACTGACTGAATGCATGTTCAGGTGGTGAACTTAGGATATATTCTACCTAGCATGATCAGCTCGAAGTTAACTTGGTTGACATTTTACCCCAACAGCATGGATGAATCATCGATCATGGGTTCGTCTCCTCCAGGCCCAGACACATTGAAGACTCACGGTGTGGCTGAAACATTGCTGACCAAGCTTCCCTCACTCATAAGGATTCCATAGAGTAGCATGTAACCTGCATGCCTAGTGTCCTTCAGCTTGTATATGACAGAGGGGACTCGCAGGATACTCCCCAGGGAGTTGAGAACCTCACGGATGCGTAGTCACATAGACACCTAGATAGACATAGTGTTCACAGCACCCGTTCCAAGTTATAGGTTCAGTACTGGGTACTTAGTGATCCGTTGTGTTATTGCACAGAAGTGTCAGCTGTATACATTACATCTAGAGATTTTGCCGTGAAAGGCGACTGTGCTTGTCGTAAGATGCGACTAACGAGATAGGGTGGTGAAGCTCGCTGACTTGGTTGATGCATGTCATCGTATCCCAATTGTGTGGATCGATGTGCATGATGTCAATCACTGGATTGTCTGGTCCAGACTCGATTATTTACAGACCGCCGTCATATAGCTGGAATATTGCTGAGTGCGGCGTTAAACAACAAACAAACACAGAAACATCTAGAGATTAATATTTGACTACTTCATATACTTGTGAAACATTACATGTTAACATTTTATCTAAAATTAAGTAATCTATATTTAATTGGAAGATTAACAAGCCTGCAACTTCAGCCTCTCTTCTGGAGTCTGTGTCTGGTTACATTCTATTAGACTTAATAAGCTTATCTAATATGTGTCATCATTATAACACTAAAGTCTACTGATGCTGAGAGCCAAGTGGTCTCCAATATTTGGCACAGACTGCTAACCTACAGTGTATATCGACTTAGGAGGCAAAAACTCTATATTGTTTGTTTTTCAGCGTGATGTGAGTGCCCATTGCTGTTCAGTTACACAGAAACAATTGCTTGTGTATACATACTAATGATATGTTTGTCTAACAACTGATTGCTTTGAACATAGCACTACCCCTTTATCAAGTTGTCGCTAATTCTCAACAGAATTGTAACTTTAAATTTGATAACCGATTCTGTCGGCTGTGTACAATGCCTTTTTGACAATTTGACATTAAAACAATTCAGTTTAGTTATTACTAAACATGTTAAATTTGAGATGCTGAAAAAAAAGAAATCCACATAATTGTTAATTATTTTGCGTTTATCGGATGAAATGTGTGGCAGATTTAACATGGCAGGACATCATTGTCTATTGCTTTGTTTTGATGCTTTTGTCGAGGGAATTACTACTAGTTAGGGAAGTAGCATCATTAAAGTGTTGTGAGGAAGTACAGATTTCATTTGGATTCTCATCATTGTAGGATCTCACTCAAGTGAAGAACCTTCAGAAGAAACATGCTCTGCTGGAGGCCGACGTCGGGGCTCATCAGGTATGTAGTGACTTCTAATGTCCTCTGGGATTCCAGAGAAGAATGGTCCCCAGTAACTGATGCTTGTCAAGAGAGCTGACTGATGTGGATTGGGTGGCTGTGATGTGTGACCTATTTCATAGAACGTTATCACACTATATGAGTGGGGATTACAGGGATAAACACCAATGTTAATATTCAACAGCTAGTTTCTGACTGGTCATTTGCTACAGGGGAGGGGGTGAGGTTAAGAGGGTCATGAAAAAGGGCATGGGCGGTATCATGAAAAATATGATGGTTTTTGACTTTTTCGAATAAATTAATTATAAATTGGAACATTATTTAGGGACTGGTCGTTTACTGTAGGAAAGGCGGGGGAGGGCATGAATTTTTTTAACATGTATTGGGGGGTATTATGAAAAATATGACTCTTTTTTTTATTTCAAATGAATTAATTATAAATTGGAACATTATTTAGGGACTGGTCAAGGTGGGGAGGGCATGATTTTTTTTAACATGTAATGGAGAGAGGCATGGAAAAATGGTGGGGGCGACAGAATATGATATAGTCTTAAGACAAATTTCATTGGCCATTGACCAGTCTCTAATTGTTAATGCCTGTAACTAGATTTGGGGAGATGACAGATGGTGCTTTCACTAGTCTCGGACTGGAAGCGGTATCTACCTCTGGATTGTTGCTTGTGCCTTAAACCACCAGTTTGCATGGCCAGGACTCAATTCATACAGACCTGTTAGATTAATCTGGAATATTGCTAAGAGCAACGTAAAAAGCAGTTACCATGGTTACTGTTACCAAGTTCAAGATCCACTCTTAACAATTTGGTGATGTACACTTTAGCTGATTGGTTTAAAGCCTACTTTTCATCGTGTTTTTCTGTAACACGTGAACGTTTTACATGATAATATATCTGTATCGTTTGATCGTTCTGCAACAATACTGACTTTCTGTACACATCCTTTATTTTAATTTTCTACCTTGGAATAGTTTCTTCAAGGAAATGAACCGTACCTTCTCTGTGTGTTTACAGGACCGTATTGATGGACTCAAGGTTCAGGCTGCACAGTTCCAGAACACTGGCCACTTTGATAGCGACACCATCCAGGCTAAACAGTCCACGGTGCTGCAGCGCTACCAGAAACTCACGGTGAGTGTCGGTGCAAGGAGGGGAGGGAGAGGATCAAGAAAATCATATATAAACCAAAATGCAATGTTTAAATACCTCTGAACTTAAGAACATTAAGATTTTGCAAAATCCTAATTTAAAGCAAAATAACTAATTTTTCACAATTTTCCTGTCGAGGGCACGGAGTTTAGAATCCTTGATAAGTCCTTGAGAAGACCTCAAAGTTTTGTTAGGAAGATGCATTTTCAAAATTATGTAGATCCACACAAATCATGCAAATGAGAGGTTTTTTTACTAATTGGGGCAGACAGGTACCCTAGTGGTTAAAGTGTTCGCTTGTCACACTGAAGACCCGGGTTCAATTCCCGACGTGGGTACATTGTGTGAAGCCCATTTCTGGTGTCCGCTGCTGTGATATTGCTGGAATATTGCTAAAAGCGGCGTAAAACCATACTCACTCTCACTCACTTTTTTGACTAATTGTAAAGTACTCCAAATGATTATAAGTCACTGATATATATATATATATAATTCCTCCAGAAACTTGAGTTTAGTAGTTGTCTGACAGACAGTATTTATTTGTGTGGTGTACAGCAACCAATGACTGGGCGGCGTCAGAAGCTGGACCAGGCTATCAGCCTCCAGCAGTTCCTTCGAGACATTGAGGACGAGGAAGACTGGATCCGGGAGAAAGAGCCAATTGCATCCTCCACCAACAGAGGTGAGCCAGCCAGTTATGTTGTATGTCCTCGCTTCAAGTTGGTGTTATCCCTTATCTGTTGGAGTCCATGGTGGAGTCTTCAGGGATTCGGGGTTAGAATTGGTCCCTAGCATCCTATGTTGTTAATAAGAGGTGACCAAATAAATCAGGTGGTCAGACTCAGTGACTTGGTTGATGGCACGTTACTGTATCTCGATGGCATGGATTGTTGCACATGATGTCAATCACTTGATTGTCTCGTCCAGACTCAATAAGTTCAGTCCTGGGTTTGTGTAATCATATATGCATATGTTATGCAATGATGTGAAATGGCTGAATCATTTCCACCATGTCCACCATGTCCACCTAACACCAAAATGAACTTATATACACTTGATTAAGTAAATGAAAGATTTGAATATAATATCTTATTTAAGGATGTCTTTGTGTCTAATACTATAGAGACACCTTTGGGGCATTGGGGTATATTTGTTGTTAAAGTGAAGACCTGTGTTTCGATTCCCTTTATTGATACAATGTGAAATCCTCAATATATGCTTCTCAAGTGTGATATTGTGGGAATATTCTGGGTAAGAGCATTGGTTGCCAGCAAACCTATGCTTGTTGTAAGAGATGATAGTAAGTGATTTGGTGGATTGCAAGTCATCATATCCCAATTGCTTGGATCGATGCTCATGATGTCAATCACTGGATTGTCTGGTCCACACTCGATTATTTGCAGACAACTGTTATATAGCAGGAATGTTGCTGAGTGTGGTATTAAACAACAAGCAAAAGCTGATTTGTGACCTTGTACATCCCAGGACGCGACCTGATTGGCGTCCAGAATCTGATGAAGAAGCACCAGGCCCTCCAGGCAGAGCTGGCTGGACACGAGCCACGCATCGGCAACGTCTGCGACGTGGGCAAGGACATGGTAAAAGAAGGACACTTCGCTGAAGAAACGATCAACCAGAAGATTGGCGAGTTGCAGGACAAATGGCAGACACTCAAGGTCAGTCTACAAACTGCGATTTCCTTTGTCCATGATATCAGTTAGTTATATGTTTCACAGTATTCATGTCAGCTAGGCTTTTCTCATTGAAAACAACAGTTTACAAGAAATATCTTTTAAAATCCATTCCCATATTTAACTCTCATCCCTTCTCTGCTGCTCCAGGACAAGGCCACCCAGCGCAAGCAGGACCTTGAGGACTCCCTCCAGGCTCAGCAGTACTTTGCCGACGCCAACGAGGCTGAGTCGTGGATGAGGGAGAAGGAACCCCTGGCTGCCAACACCGACTATGGCCGCGATGAGGACTCTGCCGAGGTCTGTATAACCGTAGAATATTGAGAGGGGATAACTCTGTCCATTGGATTTTAAGGGGATGTAGATACGGGATGTATAGCTGAATAAAATCGGGGTGCGTGGGAGATAAATCCATCGTTTGATTTGAAGGGGATATAGATAGATAGGGGGTGTACATCAGCAGAATATTGGTGAGAGGGGGTTGGGGGGCTTTCAATTTTGCATAGGAATATCTATTGCAGGCGTGTGTTCTTAATGAAAAAGCATCATCAGTGCTATATTTGAGAAATTGCTATATATTGCCAAATTGAAAAGTCTTAATAAGGATGTTATGATTCTGTTGCAAATATGGTGACGTCATGGTGTGACCTCCAGATATACTGCCAGTGTTACACCCTTCATTTTGCATCTTGGTGATGCAGATTGTATTGTTACACTTTCATTTAGGTTCAGGGGCGGTTGGGTAGCCTAGTGGTTAAAGTGTTAAAGGCCCGGGTTCGAATCCCAAACAAGCCCATTTCTGGTGTCCCCCGCCATGATATTGCTGGAATATTGCTAAAAGCGGCGTAAAACCATACTCACTCACTCACTCATTCAGGTTCAGTAAGAGAAGTAAGCTATGGCGACTAACGGGATCGGGTGGTCAGGCTCGCTGACTTGGTTGATGCTCATGATATCAATCACTGGATTGTCTGGTCCAGACTCGATTATTTACAGACCGCCGTCATATAGCTGGAGTAATGCTGAGTGCAGCGTTAAACAACAAACAAACAAAACAAAACAAGTCCTGTTAATCCAACATGGTTAGTTGCTTATGATTATGTCAGATAAACGAGTACGTCGGTTAAATGAAATTAAGTAGTACCAACGCTCGTGATCGAAAATAGGACAACTACATGATGGATAATCATACAAACAAATTGTAATAAAAAAATGAAAACTGAAATATTCCCTTTGTTATGCTATTGTAACTGTTAGTACACTGAAGAATCCCTCACTTCAAGATGAAGGTGGATTGGGGTTGACAAGAGAGTGGAATTTCATGTGATACTGAGACTTTCAGCATGTTTGAAACCATAATACTTACCTCACAACATGCTTTGTATTTCAGGCTTTGATAAAGAAACACGAAGCCTTCATGTCAGATCTGGAGGCCTACCGCAGCGTCATTGAGGGCCTTCGTGAACAGGCTCAGTCATGCAAGGTACGGATCATATCTCATCGATAATACATCAACTGCTGAAACAATCCTGTATGGTTCAAAGCCTCTGTGTAGTTTTGACTTTTGTTGTGTAGCAAATACCGATTATTTTCTGTGCTAATTTGAGGTTATTCTAGAAAGAAAAGAAAATGTCATGATCAGTTATGTTATTAGTGATACTAGCTATATTTTCAATGTGGCAACTATTATGGCTAAACGGAAGCCTACTGCCATTAAACTTGATACAGATGTTGACCGAAGAAACTTGCTAACTGAAATAAGTTTTAAGACATTTACAAATGTGTACTTTTCCAGAATCCAGATGTCCCCTTTTTCAGTGGTCTTAAGACCCGTTTGGTTAGTTGTTTCAACTTCATCCTGGAGTTACCTCCCTTCCTACTGACAAAATACACCCGAGACCTGCCACTCAACACAGCTTTGAGCACCAAATCATACGGAAACATTTTGAAAACATGTGAAAGCTTTCCATTCCACAATCCCAATTATCAACTATGGACCAAAAGATATCCTTCCTCTATCCAAACCTACAACTTATATCCATACTCACCCCGCTGTGTGTGCCAAACTGACAGTTAATATATTACTTTTATTAGCGTTGAACTTTGTTATTATTACATGCAAATAGAGGCCACCTTCTCGGTTAAGCTTCTACTGCGGTTCTTAACAAAAACATCATCCTGCCATTCAGGTTAAACATTCTGATGTGTTAGATTGTAAATAATTTTAGTCGATTTAAGAAAACATCAAAGCAGATGTTTTCCAGATTAATTTTTATTTCTTTTCAAATGGGATATCAGAAGGCAATACATCCACATTGCATGTGCAATGATATATTATGTTAATTCAATACCAACTGACTTATTCTTTGCTTAATGTGATTTTCTTCTCAACTCTGTACTCTAAATACTGACATGAATTGGTCCAGAGGGCTAGTGGAAACCTGAGCCCTCCGAGCTTGTAGGTAGTCCTGCTTGAGCAAGGCAAAAATGTTAACTGTTTACATTTTCTGTCAGTTTTGTTCAGTTCCAATTTGTAGCAAAATTAAAGTTTTGAGAACTGTTTGAGAATTATAGCCATCAAATGCTACTTGTCAATGAGGACATTGGATTTTTACTTATCCTTAGGACAATTTAGTAGTCTTGGGCTCACAGACAGACCGCCTCCGTGGTCTAGTGGTAGAGCATCCGCCCGGAGAGTGGAAGGTCCAGGGTTCGATCCCAGGCCGCGTCATACCAAAAGACGTTAAAGGATGGTACTTGTTGTTACCCTGTCTGGCGCTCGGCATTAATGGGCTAAAACAGGGACTGGTCGGCTTGGAGTCAGTATACTGTGTGTGAGTGGGATATTCATGTTAAGCTGCGGCATGGTATCTCAGTGAGCTAGCACTTTAAATCGGCATCAGTACAAGCAGCCACACACACACACCCACGTACATGCCCGTCGCTATATAAGTGCAATAATCTTGGGCGCGACGTTAAACCCCATTTCACCTCACCTCACCTCACCTCACCTCACAGACAAGCGTGAATTTCAAAGGCTGTTATGACGCTTACGCTGACTCAAGACAGTATTGCATTGCGAAACAGAGTTGAGACGAAAGTCTCAGAAAACTGTGGATCACAGTCACTGTCTGCTTTGTGGACATGGTCATGGTGTAGACAGTTGTGATACTGTAGCGTGTGTGACCATTACAGCAACAAGAAGCTCCAGTCATCGATGACTTCGGAACAGAGAAGGTGGTCGCCCTGTATGACTACACGGAGAAGTCACCCCGGGAAGTTTCAATGAAGAAGGGAGATCAGCTCACCCTGCTCAACAGCTCCAACAAGGTATGTTGTCATGGAGATTGCAGCATAGAAGGAATAACATTTCCTCATGATATCGAACATTGGTTTATGTGGTCCAGATTCTTACTTAGGCCAAATTGTTTTTCATGGTTTACAGATTTAATTAAAAAGAGGGGGGGGGGGGGGTCTGGAAAGCACTATTCTACCAAATGAAAATTTATGTCACTAAATAATTGTACATACAAAATATTTTCAACTGCAAAACAGATTGACAACTTATCTAAACATTACTAGCATAGAAAAGTATTTAGATGATATTCAAGAACCCCCAACCAAGCCCAAATCCTGAAATATCTTTTCTTTTTGCAACCCTCCGTATCAGGATTTTTCATATGAAAATCTATAAACAAAGAAGTAAAAAATATCGGACCTTACAATGTTAAGCATCTGTGATGTAGATGGCATAGTGCAGTTTAGTGGTGATAAATAACACTGAGTTACCTTGCATGGTCCACAGTCTATGTTCATGGTTGTTCTCTGTCATGTCTTGTGATGAATGTACTGCCCCACACTGACCGCCTTACCTTGTTGACAGGACTGGTGGAAGGTGGAGGTGAATGACCGCCAGGGCTTTGTCCCCGCTGCCTATGTGAAGAAGCTGGATCCCAGTCTGTCGGCAAGCCGCAACAACCTCATGGACGAGTTCACCATCTCCGTCAGACAGAACCAGATCGAGACACAGTGAGTACAGTGTTTGCTTCCTTGATGTGAGGTCACTGAAATGTGGTTAATGGTCCTGAAAGTTTTCCGTCCGACGAAATCAAATTCTTCATTGATTCCAGAAAGTAACTAATTTAAGCAAAAACTCGGGTCGTAGTTTAACCAGGTTGAGAGTAAAAGTAGTTAACTCTGCCCGCAAGATCTTAGCGACAGTGGTTATGTAAACTGAATCGCAATATAGGATTCCGCCAGGCATATGCTGTTAAGCGTTGTCTTTCCATGAGATAGGGTTTTGATGTCGCTGTCTTCATGTCTGTGTTTTAGAGTATTACAACAAACTCAACATTTTCAGAATTAATATTTTGGTGGGGATGTGGGGTATGTCTCAAAACCTAAGGAATTTTTTATCAGAAATTTGAACTTTTGAACTGGTCCCTATCAAAACTCAAACACTTGGACCCAAGGGGATTCCCCACCTCATGATGGATGAAAGAGTCGATTGTGATGAGGATCGGTTGGACAAAATGTGTGACCTGGCCCAGTGAGTGTCATTACACTGGCATAAATTGTTGCTTGTGTTGTCAAGCTCTGGTTCAGGTCGCCAATACTTCCACAGCTGTAATGTTCAGAAGGCTGCTAGACCCTGTATATTGACATCTGCCCCATGTTTGTGCAGATATGCCAACCTGCTGGACTTGGCCCGTCAGCGCCACGAGAAGCTTGGGGAGTCTGTGAAGGCATACCAGCTGGTGCGAGAGGCGGCCGAACTGGCGTCATGGATCACGGAGAAGGAGAACCTGATGGTTGGAGAGGAGGTCGGCGAGGACTTGGAGCAGGTTGAGGAGATGCAGAAGAAGTTTGATGACTTCCAGAAGGTAAATATGGCTGCTCAAAATATGTTTCTTGGACATATTAACATGTTATCGGCTTTAACATGATACTCAATGATACAGAAATACCTTGCAATTCATACATGTGGATACTGTTTAAGCTTCTTATGGTTCAACATGATTTTGTGAAGTGGTTGGATAGGTGTGCGTTTGTATCTCTAGCAAAAGGCACTGTACTTCTGTAACTTTGGTAAAGCTGTTTAGCTTAGTTTGCCATGTTTGTTGCCAGTACAAACTAGGACACATCTGTAATGATTCATATTGTAGCTGAAGTAAAACTCTGCAGGAATGTCATTTTTGGCTGCATTTCCGACAATATTAGCATTTCTTAATGATTCCTGTTTTGAAATTCAGGACTTGAAAGCCAATGAGGTGCGTCTCCAGGAACTCAACTCCATCGCAGACAGATTGACAGCCATGGGACAGACCGAGGCTGCCGAGAAGATCCGTGAACAGATCACGGTAAGTCATCCAATGTGCGAACTAACTCGAGCCTAGTGGTTGCAGCATTTGCACGTCACACCGAAGGCTTAGGTTAGATTTCCATTTCTGGTGTCCCCTGCAATTTTTTAGCTGGAATGTTGTTAAAAGTGGAATAAAGCCATACTCTTTCACACACTCCCAGATAGAACAGGTGCCCCCAGCAACGTATACTTGCAATTCGCTGTGCAGAGTTGCGTCCCTTGGGCACGCCAGAAACCTATGATTGTGGGTTCGAATCCCGGTTCGCCCCGATTTTGTTTCTAGGTTTGTCAGCTCCATACCCGTGCTCGTGGGTTTCACTGAAGTGGTAAACGTCCGAGACCTGCATCACTTCGGGCTTTCCTCCCACATTAAGCTGACACGCCGCGATATAACTGGAACAATGTTAAAAGCGGCGTTAAACACAACTAACTCACTCAACGTATACTGGTCATAAAGAGGCGACTGAATGAATAGGTTGGTGAGAAATCAGTTGCTTAGTTTATAGCAGTCCTCATACCCCGGTGGCATGGGTCCTTGCTTACAATAATGATCACTGGATTGTCTGGTCCAGACTTGATTGTTTACAGGCAGTCATATAGCTGGAATATTGCTGTGTGTAGCGTTAAACAACAAATAAGAAAACAATGTATCACTGCATGTCAATACATTGTTAATTGGTTTTGTTTTTCTCCGCAGCAACTGAACCAGAGATGGGTGACCCTCCAGCAGGTGACAGCAGAGCGGGCGGAGACCCTGGGCAGCGCCTTCGAGGTGCAGAGATACCACAGGTGGGCAGCTGATTCGAGGGATGCCCTTTCTCCCATACTTTAACCACAGTCTTCAAAATTAAGCATAGAAGTCAAGGGGTCCTTGCCATAACCCTAGTGGCAAATGTAAAACATTTATGGAGGCCCTGATTCAAATATTTTGGGAGCAAACCTCTAGGACCCCAGGACCCCCTTTAAGATGAAACATTGAACCATGGTAACTTGTACCTACAAGGCCACATTTGTTGATGTGATGGTGTAGGAATGTTTGAAGACAATTTTGAATTAGTTGGTTAAAATTAAAAGATCCATTTGTATGGCTCAATATTTTCTCCTTTTGTTTGGTATGAAGATCAGTAAGTCAGTTTGGTGGGGAAAAATAATTGCAGGATTCTAAGATTTCTTTCAGTACCCTGATTGATAATGGTGCATGATAATCTCAAACATTGGCGTAACTGTTATAAACAAGCTGATCTTACTATCTTGTTATTATTCAACATATTCAACTTCTAAATGCCAGTCAAATATGACCAGGGGTGGTCGGATAGCCTAGTGGTTAAAGCGTTCGCTTGTCACGCTAAAGACCCGGGTTCGATTCCTGACATGGGTACAACGTGTGAAGCCCATTTCTGGTGTCCCCCGCTGTGATTTTGCTGGAATATTGCTAAAAGCGGCGTAAAACCATACTCACTCACTCAAATATGACCAACTTGTTTCCCAGAGAGGTGATTGAGACAAAGGACTGGATCGCTGAGAAGGACAACACCCTGAATAATGACAACTACGGCCACGACCTGGCCAGTGTGCAGGCCCTCCAGAGGAAGCATGAGGGTCTACAGAGAGACTTGGCTGCACTCGGAGAGAAGGTCAGTCGCCTGAAGTAAAACATTGTGCATCTTACAGATCTATCCCCGAGAGAGCATTATGTACTAAGTACTTCCTTTTTGATAGTTAGATGGCAATCAGGTGGTTACACTGTGTAATTTACAGACCGCAGGATTATTGCCGAGTGCAACATTATAACAACTAGCATGGATTATTGCTCATGCTATCACCCACTTTTTATCTGGCCTAGACTTTATTATATACCAGCTGCTGTGATACAGCAGGAATATATTGCTGACCGTGGCATAAAACAACATTCACTCATTTTAGTTAAATTATTTAAAGATTTTTACAAAATTGTAAATAAGAAATGAATTGAGACCAGCTGTAGAATAGTAACTAACATTGGAAGCCTCTACCTGTGGTACACACATTGTTGTGTGACTCAGCTTCCGACAGCACTGCCTTGGTTGTAGTATGGAATTTTACAGTATTTCAACAAACCCTTCATCTATGTTTGTTGCCTAATTGTAACAGGTGCGCAGTCTGGATGAGAACTCCCAGCGTCTGATGCAGTCTCATCCAGAGCAGGCAGAAACCATCTACGAACACCAGACCCAGATCAACGAAGAGTGGAACGCCCTCACATCAAAGGTATGTCTCAACAATAGGACACAATGGAAGGGCTCTGTCGTATATCTTCTTCTGACATCAGTATTGTCTTTTATATGTCTGTAAATGCTGGATGCATCATTATGAGTGCTCTTGTTCCAGGCCGATGCCCGCAAGGCCAAGCTGTTGGATGCATATGACCTTCAGAGATTCCTCAGTGACTACAGGTGAGTGAAAGCCTAGCCATCGGTTGAAAAAATATGAAAAAAAGGTACATGAAAATTTGACCCACAACACAGATTTTCTGAAATCGGTATGTGATTATCATTATAATTAAAATGTTAACATGTGTTTGCTGTCTTTCAATGTTAAGTTTTGTAGACAAGATTGCACCTGACAAACAAATACTTGTGCACTTTTTTTATTATAAAGACAGCCTTCATGATCGTGATAAAATTGACATTTGTCTGGACAAGTACAAGCAGCCACACACCCATACTTGCATGCATGTCTCTATGTAAGCGCAATAAGACGCAACTATAAACACCATGTCACCTCATCTTGTTTCACTTAATCGGAAAACCGCTTTCAAGGACTGGCTTGTCTGATCCAAATTCGATCATTTACAGCCAGCCTTCTTATTCACTCACATGGTCATAGTCGATAATGGATTGGAGAGAATCTTTTGGAAGAGGCTTAGGTTGGTTGAGGGCGTGGATATGTTTGCATACTCCCTCTGAAGCCAAGATCAACAAAAATGAGTCCTTCTGTTTTAGGGATCTCACAACCTGGATCAACAGTATGATGGCTCTGGTCTCCTCCGACGAGTTGGCCAAGGATGTCACTGGAGCTGAAGCCCTGCTCGAAAGACACCAGGTGAGTCACCAGCTTAATATAGGCATGCACTGTCTTTATAGTGGGGAGCTAGTGAGTCACTAGCATTATAGAGGGGTGCACATGGAGTGAGTGTTTTTATGGGGCAGCCAGGGGACAAATGGAGACTTCGGAATCTGTATTCGATTCTTCTCAAATTTTCTTAACTTTCTTAACTACATTTGTATGGAAAATATATCAGATCGAAATGGTGTTCTGTGATCTAACCGTAATGCCTCCACGTGCACGCCATCTTAATTTGTTAAGTGGTAAGAAATGTCACACAACTTAATACATTTAGACTTAATTCTTTATTCTGATTTATTCACATCACTTGTTACTTGTATTATAGCACTGTCACCATAGTAACATCAATACGTTTTTCTCAATGGGTAGTGGGTCATGCCAATGGTTTAAGATCGTCATGTAGTTTCCTCTCCATTTGATCAATGCCATGTCTATGCAAGAAGTATCACTAAATGTTTACATGGTTCCTGTGTGCATAAGTGGTTTGGGCCCCGTTCCACAAAGCGATCTTAGTGCTACGATTGTCGTAAGTCAGTGTTAAAGAATGGGAGTTACGATCGACTTAGCGCTAAGATCACTTTGTGGAACGGGGCCCTGATGCAAGAAACTATGTGATGTCACTTACCGGGGTGTCATGATACACAATCAGTGACATTTATCTCACAATACATTGTGTATCAAGATACAACATTACTGATGAGACTGCAAGTAGCAGCATCCTTGCTTGCACATATCTACATAACTATCCTCCGAGGGTTCAGGTTAAAAGGGGTTCCCAGAATAAACCTATGTTTTTTATATTGCCACCTGAAGAGCTGTAAATAGTTTCCAGTTCCTGACACGAACTAAAATCCAAGTATCATCAAAGGCTTTTCAAAGTAAAAAATACTTTCTTCCCCTACCTGCAATTCAATTTCACCTACTTTTTTAATACCGGAAACATTACCACACTTCACACCAAATTGTCCCAAGGGACCATAATGGCTTAATGAATCGGGAGGTCAGACTCGCTGACTTGGTTGATGCATCATCGTATCTTAATTGCGTAGATCGATGCTTATGATGTCAATCACTGGATTGTCTAGTCCAGACACGATTATTTTACAGACCACCATAGCTGGAATATTGCTGAGTGTGGCATTATGAGAACAAACAAACTACTTGTATCAACTTTGAATCTGAATCAGGACCAGTATAACTCGTGAGGCTCTATGATTGTGACACCCGTATTACGTGATATTACCCCAATGAGTTGTTGTCCTATGTCCTATGTCCTATGTCCTATGTCCTCTTCCCATGTAAAGCTATGAGCTATGCCCTGATTACAGATGTTCAGTTCTGAGATCGTTAGCCATTACGGCATCACATCATTGCCCGACGAAGAAGAAGAGGAAGAGGTAGTGATGTCATAGGTCATGTGACCTGGTCACGTGATCGCACGCCATGTGACTGATGTCCTGTCATGACAAATTCATTATACTGAATGTTACTTGTGTTGCATCAGAACCCCATGGTTGAAACTGAACCCTTTAGCTTAGCTGGCTATCTGTCGATTGTGTGTTCGTGAAAGATGACATTGGACAGCAGAATGGATTCAGTGCTTAGTCATTCGACCCTAACATGTAAAAGCAAACAGTTTCAAAATTGATCTGTCCTTTCTCAATGAACATCACATTTAACTGGAATCCATTGTAACAAAGAAAAGAAAAGGACGTCATCTTACATGAACATGATGAAAACAATGAATTACGATAGCCAATCCGAAATCAACATCCTGGTTAATACATGAAAATATATTTTCGATGCATGGAAAGTTTGTCAGTGGGTGTAACCTGATTTTCGACGGATCTAATAATGTATATATTTTGCATGAGTGTGTCTGTCCATGGAATTGTATGGGGCTGAGACTGGTGTCTTAGAGTGTCATATATTCTTCTCTACTCTTGTATGCTCGGTGAGAAAGGCAAGCTTGTCAACCAATTGTTGCAGATTTAGACAATTTGAAATAATTTTTTTAGAGTGAAATTATTCCCAGATTTTGACCTTACAAGAAAACACCTGCAGGATTGCGTGTTGGAGTAGGTACTCAGCAACCCGTTCTTGTCGGACAACAATACAACCTAACGGATCCAATGGTCAGATTTGGTTGCCTTAATCATACCCCGATCATGTGGGTCGCTCATAATACCGATCACTGGATTATCTGGTCCAGGTTTGATTATTTACAGACCAATGTCATGTAGCTGGAATATTAGAGTGTGGCGTTAAACAACAAACAAACGTTACAGTTAATGGGTTAGTGCAATTTGGGAAACCCATCACGGAGTCCCTGACATTTATGTTGCTGCAGTACTGCTAAAAACAGCACAAGAATTGGTAAATTCGAGGTCAAATATGGTATGGGTATCCTCAGGAGACCCATGAAGATCTGAGTAGGGAATAGGTGTTCAGGAACCCATGCCTGACGTAAAAGGCGATTATGCTTGTCATAAGAGGCGACTAACAGGATCGGGTGGTCAGACTCGCTGACTTGTTTGATACATGTCATCGTATCCCAACTGAGTAGATGATGCTCATGATGTCAATCACTGAATTGTCTGGTCCAAACTCGATTGTTTACAGACTGATGTCATGTAGCTGGAATATTGCTGAGTGCAGCGTTAAACAACAAACGAACAAACAAATCTTCAGGCCTTTATCAAGGCTCCCAGTAGATAGAGAGGCTGCCTTTTTCACTGAAGACTAATTAACAAGTTTGTTTCAGGTTTTTGTAGATGCCCCTGATTAGCTGCGTGCCCAGTGGACTGCATGGACGACACGGCTGTGTCCTAATCCTCATTCTTAATTTCTCATATGATTAATATAACATAGCCCCATTGGTGTCACTCACTTTGCACACAGGGATATTATAGCCATGAAATAATCCAATGTTTCGAAAAGACTTGTTGGGATTTATTGGTGGTTCGGGGTTTGAGGTCGAATATTTTCTAGGACATTAAGTCATGAGCTGCGCAGTGGCTGATATTCGGCCCAGACTCTGGATCAAATGTCAGTAAAAAGTCTCAAATTGGAATTAAAACAATTCTCATTGTTAATATTTGTAACTAATGTGATGGCTTGGTCACTGAAGACAGGACCAATAAAGAGGAAGTTTTTCAATGGTACCTTATTGCTTTGTAGCTTCATTGTATCCAGGGTACAAGTCGGATGGGGGGTACTTGGAGTTAGGGACTGTTTTAATTCACGATTCTCAAATTTTCCAAGACACCCTCAAATTCCATCTCTAACGTTCCACCACTTGAGAGTTCTGCTATATGTTGTATATTGCTAAAATATTAGTAAAGGTGTTGTAAAACTCTACTCCCTGATTTAGATCTGTCCGATAAACTCAATGATTATCAAATTGAGGGTGGCTCAGCACTACATTTTTGCCTGTCATGGGGTAGCCCCGGTTTGAATCCCAACATGGGTTCACCATACTCCTGTCCAATTCCATAAAGAACAAATCTCTTGGGTGTCTCTATTCTACATTCGGAATCAACAGATTCGAGTGATTCTCCTATATGGTTGATATATCAGTTTTACTTGTTTAAAATGCACATTCAGAATAACCAGTGAATTCCTGGCTCAGGTTCACCTGCAAGAACAATACCGCAACGTCATCAAAATGGCTTAAGCTGTGAACGAGTCGACCACCTCTCAGTCAATGGCCGTTATGTTAATTGTATGAGATACTTTCAGTTCCCCTGCATGGTTTGGAGTGTGAGCCAGTGTATCTAGACAGGCTGCCAGTGCATGCGATGATTATACATACTTGAGTACATAGTGTAGTTAGTGTGTGCATCTGAGATGCACGGCAAGACTTTTTACTGCTGTTTCAAGATACTCCCAGAGTGACCCTCCATATTAGCAACCCTTCCCTCATTGCAAATATCTCCCCAGTGTCATATAATGACATATAATTATTCCCACTTGACATATTTGACTGATTCCCCCTGTAAATTCCCTTGTAATACCAATCACATTATGTTCGTAATGTGAACAAAAATACCGTTTTAATGTATTTTTCAGCAGTTAAAAAGATTACAGGCTCAGTGCATTGTGTAAGCCAGTCAATGATATGAAATTTTGTAACTAATATGTTGGGAATGTAATGGACACTCGAAATCAAATTTTCATTGTCCTCAAGAAATTAACTAAAAGTAGGGGTGTCAAAATTGTCTGTTTGTCCATTCCCATGACATCCAAAGTTATTTTGATGATTTGATCTAAACATAAATGTGAAATATTGATGTTTCGGCCTGAAGATAAATTTGACACCCTGGAAAGCCTGAGATTGCTAAACTGTTCTAACCCTATGCATGGACTTTGAAAAACAGTGAAAATCAGAAAGTAATGACTATTGTATATCACACACTGACTGCTCTAGACTGGCTCAGAATGTGTAATTTCATCAGCTCCAATGGTTTCTTTAAACAGTTGCTGTGGTAGATAGACAAATATCCAATGTCATATCTAGATATGTTTTTCTCTACAAGATGGTGTCTGTAAATCATGGAAAGGTTCTTAAAAAAATGTCAATTTTGGATATTTGACTGTCGATATGTGTAATCTGTAAGATAAATTTGCTTTTTATATTTATGGTTATTTTTTGTTCTTTTGTAAGTCAGGTTTGTTTATGTGACTTGAACTGGAGAAGTGGGTGACAGGATTTTAATGGAGCGTTTACAATTGTAGGAACACCGGACTGAGATTGATGCACGTGCCGGGACGTTCCAGGCGTTCGAGCAGCTGGGACAGCAGCTTTTGCAAAATCAGCACTACGCCAGTGAAGATGTTCAACAGAAGCTGGAGGAACTTGCCCGTGCTCGGGAGGAGTTGGAACAGTAAGTTTGTTTGTTTGTTAAACGAGCTATAGGACGGCGTGAATCACTGGATCGTCTGGCCCAGATTCGATTATTTACAACTGTCATTTACCTAGAATTTTGATGAGTTTGTTTGTTTGTTAAACGCTGCACTCAGCAATATTCCAGCTATGAGATGGCAGTCTGTAAATAATCACGTCTGGACCAGACAATCCTGACTGCATGGGATGATGCTGATAAGATCAACACTGGTTTGTCTGGTCCAGACTCCATTATATACTGGCTGCTGTCATATAGCTGGAATATTCCTGAGTGTGGTTTTGAGCAACAAATAAGGTCCCAATTTGGAAAACAACCCTGTGAATTAATTTGTCTTTTTAAGTGAGTATAAAACTTCACTGGGTTCTTTCCAAGATCATAAAATTCCTAACTTAAGTAAAAAGAGACTGCCAAAGAACTGAAGGTCAATAGTTCAATTACAGTCACATCATACCTAAAGAAGTTAAAAGATGGTACTTGGATTTCGGCATTATGGGGTAAATCAAGGACTGGTCGGCACACAGTCAGTACAATGATACTGGGTATCCATGTTGAACTACGGCATGTTATCTCATTGGGCTAGCACTATAAAACTGACATTTGTGCAGACTAGTGCCATAAAAACCATACTCACTCACTCACTGTAGTAAGGGAAATATGTCCCCAGATTATGATGTTTATCCATGGTTGCTTACAGAGCCTGGATCTCCCGTCGCATGAAGCTGGACCAATGCCTGGAGCTGCAGCTGTTCTACCGGGATTGCGAGCAGGCCGAGTCCTGGATGGCTTCCCGCGAAGCCTTCCTGGCCGGAGACCAGGTGGACGGTGACAACGTGGAGAGTCTCATCAAGAAGCACGAGGACTTCGACCGTGCGATCAACTCTCAGGTAAGCAGCTTGTCAGGCAAACTTGACCTCATACCATTCCTGTTGGTGATCTGGGTTAGATTATACAGGTATCTGTCTGGACTTGCTCAGAGGCTGATTTTTGCCCTAAAGTCTGCAGCAAATGTCAGTAAAGATTCCCAAATTGGAATTATTAATTACCCAATTCATGTAAACAAATGACTAAAATTTTGACTTTGTATCGGTAACCTGTATTTCACTGATAACAGGACCAAGAATTTGAAGAAATAGGAAAGAGTTTTAATGCATAGTTTTATGTTTTTGCGTTGAATGTAAACTCAATATTAAAATACTTCTGAATTTATGAAAAAAAGAACTATAAAATAATCCCAATTTTGATAAAAATACAAATTTTATTCCCAAATTGCCTGCCAGGGACGCTTAACTTAGAATCCTAGATAAATCCCTGCTATGTCTCCAGCAATCTATGCTTGTCGTAAGAGGTGACTTTGAGGATCGTGTGGTCTGATGAGGTGATTTGATAGATTTACGGGTCATACCCCGATGGCGTGGGACATTCCTCATAATATCAATCATTAGTTTGTCTGGTCCATAGTTAACATAAATATAATTGAAGAAAGACTAGTGAGATTATTGTTGTAGACTAGTGAAAGCAAAAGATAATTTGTGACCCCAAGTGAGTATGAATACCCCTCCAGGTGGCCCAGTCGTCTAAGGCGCCGCGATTCGCTGTGCAGAGTTGCGTCCCTTGGGCACGCCAGAAACCTATGATTGTGGGTTCGAATCCAGGTTCGCCCCGATTATGTTTCTAGGTTTGTCAGCACCATACCCGTGCTCGTGGGTTTCACCGAAGTGGTAAACGTCTGAGACCTGCATCACTTCGGGCTTTCCTCCCACATTAAGCTGACATGCCGCAATATAACTGGAATACTGTTAAAAGCGGCCTTAAACCCAACTCACTCACTCCAATACTGGCTGTTTACTCTGCTCCCTTATATGGCCCTGCTATATATGTATGTTTCCATCTACAGGAGGAGAAGATCAACTCCCTCCAGCAGTTTGCTGACCAGCTGATCACTGCTGACCACTACGACGGCCCTGCTGTATCCGAGAAGAGAGACCAAGTGCTAGACAGGTGACTATGATAATGATTATGGTGACGGCAATTGATGATGAGTTTTGTGAAGACTGCAAAAAGAGTCGGCTGATTTGGTGCAATTTAACTGGTTACCATATTTTAGATTTGAAGGGTACACATGTATGATTTCCAAATGCAATCTTATCATGTGAAACTATATATTAAAGCTATCAGTTGTCTAAAGGGGGAGTATTACCAGTGTGATGTGTACACAACAGATGCAGTGAGGCAGCTCTGTACGCTTCATATCTTGGACACAAAAGTAATGTTGGATAGATATCTCATGCCACCTTTTGCTCTGCCTGTAGATGGTCTCAGCTGAAGGAAGCTCTGATAGACAACCGGTCTAAGCTGGGAGAGGCTCAGACTCTCCAGCAGTTTTCACGCGATGCTGACGAGATGGAGAACTGGCTCCAGGAGAAGCTGCAGATTGCCATGGACGAGTCCTACAAGGATCCCACCAACATCCAGGTACAAACCTTGTCTTCAACTCATTGTGACCCTTGAAATTACATACATAGGGGACCCATAGGGGTTCTGGGTTAGAACAGGTCCTCAGCAACCTTTGCTGGCTGTACAAGGATCCCACCAACATCCCTGGGTTACCAATGGGAGGACTACATATTCATTAAACAGGTTACAATCTTGCAACATTTTCTTGACAGCCAGGATGTTGGCTATTTTTTGTTCTGTCTCACTTTGACTCCTGAAACATTTCCATAAAAAGAGAGAAAATTTCTCCAGGCTATGGGGACTGATTTGCTCCAAATCCTAAAATGTTTGTAACTGTATCTTTTCAGAGTAAGCACCAGAAACACCAGGCTTTTGAAGCTGAACTTGCGGCTAATGCTGATCGTCTGCAGGGTCTCATTGGAACTGGACAGAGTAAGTGTCTTCAGGAGAATCATTGTCATTACTGCTGTTGTCTTTGAATCATCGGGCAGAAGGGGTTCTTGAATATCTGTTTTAGGGGTTACTAGAGTCAGGATCAGATGATCACTGAAGCTGTTCATTTGACTCTACATGGAATAAATGATCCTGGAGATACTGGGGTAGCTATGTCTCTTGTTAAACAATATCTAGGTTTCTAGAGTGAGGATCAGATGTTTACTGAAGCTGTTCATATGACTATAAATTGAATAGTTGGTCCCTGTGGATACACCGGTGTGACATAGGCTCTTAGTAACAATGTCTGCTGTTTGTGATAATATAGTACAGATGGTGTATTGCATTGTGTCTTTCTCCAGACCTGATTGACCGCCACCAGTGTGCTGGGTCGGACGACGCTGTCCAAGCGCGACTGGAGTCCCTGGCTTCCCAATGGGAGGACCTCGTCGCCAAGTCAGCAGAGAAGAGTGACAAGCTGAAGGAGGCCAATCGCCAGCAGACGTTCAATGCAGGAGTCAAGGACATGGAGTTCTGGCTTGGAGAGGTTCGTGTTTGTTCCATGTTCACTCTGTAGTTCTATAAATGATATTACAAGATTGGTAAGTTCAGCTTGTACTCGCTTGATGATAAATGATAATATTAATCAGAGCTCCAGATAAGCTGCGTATCTGCGTAAAATACGCATCAGAAATGCAGAAATACGCAGTAAAATAAAATCCAAGCGTATCAAATAAGCAACGAACATTACAGATACGCTACAAAAATAAAACTTGTGCATATCATCAAAATATTGTGAAGTAGCCCTCTCTTTATCATGTTTATCACAGATTCTGACATGTAGATTGTAACTACGTAACCAATATTGCAGGTGGAGCAGATGTTGGCGTCAGAGGATTACGGCAAAGACCTGGCGTCGGTTCAGAACCTGCTGAAGAAGCAGCAGCTGCTTGAAGCTGACATCACAGCTCATGAGGTAAGATTCCCAAAACGAGAGTACTTGTGTCAAACAAACCTTATTTCGAGACACCTTGTCTCATACCCATTGGTTGATTATCATCAACTGTTTTAAATGTTTAATGTCTTGACAGCCATGTACATATCGTCAGTTCTTGTTCAACATGGATTAACCATATCATGCCATGGTCGAAAAACCATTTGATTTTTTAATCAAGTTTATAAGGGTCATTTTCAGTTGAACTATACACCCATTCTACAAATTAAACCCCAGTACCATTTAAAGTTTAGACAAAAGAATCTGCAACATGAGAATATGATAAGTAAGTACATATGCACAGTTACGTTTGAACTGCTGGTATTTTAGGCCATGATGTTGCTTCAGTACTGCATATAACATCTCCGTCATCGTACAACCCTTGGTTGTTTTCACTGAAGGGCTAAACATCAACACACTGATAGTAGAAACCAAATGCCAAAATGCAAACTCTATCCAATCATATTCAGTAATTACTAGAAGCAGATTCTCATCAATTTATTTTTGGACAAATGAAACAACATGTTTGTGATAATATTAGAGATTTGAGTTCCCTTATACAATATTTAAGCAGTGGCTTCATTTACCTTTTTCATAAACATTAACAACTACACTTATAATATTGTATATGAATAATTTAAGGGAGTTTTTTTTTTCTTGCATTGTGATGTACAGATTATCAGTCAGATTGTCAAATTCTAAAGAAATATTTTTTGTAATTATCCGTTTTATCCAAATGATACTAGATAGAATGAAATTTTTTCTGTGAATGGTTGCAACATGAAGTAACATAGATAGTATTACTGTCACGTGAAGCAAGAGCTGGAGGGGTAGAGTATTGACAGTATGTCAGAGAAAAGGGTATACAATCAACATGACTAAATTCTAATAATCATGTGTGATTTGAAGGATAACTATGTGTCCATTGCCACAGACTCCAGAAGAACCGACGCTGCTGAAACCAGTGATGGCCCAGCGCCTGGAGGCGCCCTTGTTACATGTAATGTTCTATACTAGGTTTCTGAGTGTGTCTTGAGGCTTGACGTGTAGTAGGTTATTAACGTATGCAGGAAACACGAGACAGGTTTGGATTGAATAATCGCATGCATTACCTTATAAACTAATAAGTATACAGTATCTACACTAATCTTTGAAATAAAGATGGAGAATATTTCCAGGTTTTTCTGATATGCAGGCTTCAGTTGACTACTGATATAATTAGGCTGAACATATGATTCTTAAATAAAAGCATTTGAAGCACAACTTTCGGTAACTAGTAGGGTCCTTGTATGGAAACTGTACCATTTTTTGTAGTAGATTTTAAACTGTGAGAAATAGCCCATTTGAAATTTCTTGATAATTCCTCAGCATATGGGGGCGATGGGGTAGCCTAGTGGTTAAAGCGTTCGCTCGTTACGCCAAAGGCTGGGTTTGATTCCCACATGGGTACAATGTGTGAAGCCCATTTTTGGTGTCCCCCGCCGTGAAATTGCTGGAATATTGACAAACCTACAACTGCTGGTAATTCTTTTGGACAAATAATTAGTGCAGTAATTATAAGTCTCCTTTAAGTTCAGGATCTAAAAGTGCCACATTCTCTAGTTTGTTAAAGCAAGCGATTATTCCCAGTCTAGGGGCAATAACAATATGTTTACCCCTTAATTATAGAAGAGGCGTACCAAAAATGTGATTTGTTGGCAATAATGGTTACCCAGTGTTAGTACTAGTTTGATAAGGGTATGTACCCAGATGTTCTCAGTTGATTCTCACTACGGATACCGACTGTTTCTTCAACACCAACCTATTTCTATTCTGCTGACATGGCATTAAATTCAATTTATTCACTGATAAGGGAAACTGGCATGTCTTCTTTGCAAGGCATATGTTTATCTTTTTGCACAACTTTGATGATCTGCTCTTGACATGATGGTGTAGCCCAGCTCACTCATACATTTTTGACCTGAGCCAGAGTGATTTAGTGTTTAATACTGTGTCAGATACCATCACCTCCTCTGTGGTCTAGTGGTGGAGTGTCCACCCTGAGAGTGGAAGGTCCGGGGTTCGATCCCGGCTACGTCATACTGAGAGACGTTAAAAAATGGTACATGTTGTTACCCTGCCTGGCGCTCGGCATTAAGGGCTTAAACAAGAACTGGTCAGCTCTGAGTCAGTATACTCTGTCTGAGAGGGGTATTCATGTTAAACTGCGGCATGGTATCTCAGTGGGCTAGCACTATAAGATCGGCATTAGTCCGGACTTGTTTAAGAGCCACACAAACATGTATGCACGTCACTATATAAGTGCAACCATCTTGAAAGCGACATTAAACCCCATTTTACCTCACCTCCCGAGACACCGTCCTTCCTATGCAGAGTTGTTTCCCTTTCTGCTAGGATCTTGTGATGTGTTTGAATCCTAGATTCATCCAAGGTGATTGTTGGTTTGTTAGCACCAGCCTCTTGTGTTTTTCCATAACGGTAGACCACATCACTTCACTGTTTTGGAATCCTGACCCTTGAGGGGAATCAGGGTTAGAATTGGTCCCAAGCAATCTATGCTGGTTGTAAGAGGTGACCAAATGGTCAGGCTTGGTGACTTGGTTGATTGCATGTCATCATACCCCGATGGCGTGGAGTGTTGCTCATAATATCGATCAGTGGATTGTCAGGTCAGGAATAGATTATTTACAAACCGACGCCATATAGCTGGAATATTGCTGGGTGTAGGGTTACACAACAAACAAAACTACAGTACTGAATAATGGGGCTTGCTGCTCACAAGTAATATTTGTGGCAGTTTTCATTGTTCAAAGGACACTAGTCAAGCCCTCAGTGAGCAATATGCACACAGAGATAGGAGCGTCTCTTTGTCAGGGTGACAGTAAGGATCTGCATATGTGTGCTGTTGGTAGAGCTCGTATCTACGAATGTTGCATGTAATTTATCAACACGATTTTGTAGACTTGATTTTTTCCTCATGTTGCAAATCATTTAGCAACAAAATGCCTTATTTTTTCCTAACACGAGGCTCTTCCTCGAGGAGACATTTCCTCATTTTCCTTTTAGCATGGCTGGGAACTTTTTTCTTTTGTTTAGCCAGTATTACAGCACTGTGACTCCCACAGTGAAACAGGCATGCTGATCAGGACGAGGGGGGAGGGGATTCCCCTGGGGAATGCCCCTCTGAATAGTCCATGCTGGTTGGCTGAATAAGGAAGCATGCATATTGCAGATTTAATCAAACTTTTCCAGTTGTGTGTTGTAGTTACTGGAAGAATAGGAAAGTTGAATGAATTTGGCTTTGTGAACTTTTAAATGGTATTCCTGAACGACTATTTATTTTTTTACAAAATGTACTTTCAAATTGATGAATTGCCCAATGAAAAAGATTATTCCTCCATCACTGATACTTATTTTGTGCTCAGGGATTTCGTGTAAGAGTGGTTCTGAGCAACCTATGCTTGTTGTACATGGCAACTAAATGAATCTGGTGGGCAGGCTCAGTGACTTGATTGTATGTCATCGTTCCCTGATGGCGTGCATCATCGCTCAGTACATCAATCACTGATTTTCTTATCAATTAATTACAGTCCACCAGCATACAGCTGGACTATTATTGAGTGCGGCATGAAACAACATCCAATCAAGCAATACTGATTAAGTGAGTGTTTTTCTCAGGATCGCATCACGGACTTGAACAGTCAGGCTGATCAGTTCATCGAGGCGGGTGTTTGGGATGCGGAGAGTCTTCAGGACAGGAAGAAGACCATCAATGAGAGATACGAGAAGTAGGTATTCAGAGACAGACGTATCTGTAGGAGACAATGAAGGGCATTACACTGTCTGGTTCATCTTCCCGAGGCAAGGGAGGTGACTGACTGTCAAGTCCAGTTTTTGCCTTTTGCCGAACGAGGCTAGAATTTCTGGGCTTGATCGTTGCGACGAACTGGATGTCGAATTCACTACACGATTTTGATTGTCCAGCCAAACTCACTCTGGAACTCCAGCCTAGTCGGCTAGGGTGGAAACTGGGCTTTTAACTCAGTTAACTCCCTTGCCTCAGGAAGATGTGTCTGGTTACAGTGACACTAAAGGCAACTTCAGTGGGGATTGGTTGGTCAATTGAATGAATGTATAATGACTGTCTTAAATATTAGTTTTTCTATTCCAAGAGTGATTTGTTTACATGCTAAATGAATAATTCCGAGTGACATTCACACTCCACAATGTGAAAATGAATGCAGTTACAACAATTCCTATTGCATTATTTTCATTGCTTTTTATGCTAATTTCACGATTTAGTAACCCTTATTTGAAATATTGAAATATTTACCTTACAGTAAGAAAGCTTAAGTCTTATTGATCTCCAAGGTGAAACTCCTTGCCATGTTGTGACACTTACAATGAGGCAACCCAGAGAGCTGTAACATGTTTTACCCTTGCTGCGCAGGATCAAGGAGTTCTCCATCCACCGCCGAGGCCGTCTGAATGAGGCAAACACCATGCACCAGTTCCTCAGGGACATCGATGACGAGGAGGCTTGGATCAAGTGAGTCATGCTTTGTATTGAGAGAAATAGACTGTAGTTGGCACATTAACATATTCATCAGAAACATTTCAGCTTCAGAGGGCTTAGAATATACAATCGCTTGATGATACTTCATATTGTTGATTTATTAGAGGCCAGAGTCACTGCAGGGAGAATGGTTATGTGTATGCAATTTCTAAACATACGTTAAGTATATGTTGTCATAAGTTGATATATTCGGCATAATATTACAGAATTAATGGTTTTAATTATATCAGTGCAAAATCAACCAAGTCTCATTAGGTAAACTGCATATTTGTGTAAAATACCCCCAAAACTATTCAAACCCCAAATTACTTCAATTAACTTGCGTACAGAAACGCATGCATTGAATGGGAAACTCAATTGTTTATAAATAGTATGTGTAAATACCCAATGAATCTTTTTCAGCATGCATACTTCCCGAAACACAATTACGAGCTAATTACTTTCCGAGTGAAGCCTATATTTAGAACCGTTATATACATCTGAAACATTATTTCATTTTTTTTCAAAATGCTTACTCATTTTGTGAAAAACCCGATAGAGTGATGAATAGATGAAAATATTGGTTACCCAATGAAAAATGTAATAACCCAATGAAAATAGAAACCTTTGAATAAAAACTCAATTGCTCAAAAAGTTATCTGGAGCTCAGGATCACACAAATTCCTGTAGGTTTGTACAAATTTCAGAATTTCCCAAATGTTTTAACATTACAAGGGCAGTTTTGTCTTTACCCAGGCTATTAAAGCTTACAAGTTTCACCGTAACCGTGCATTAGATGAGTTTTACATTTTGAAATGAAATTTATTCAGAGAGAAGAAGTTGTTGGTTGGGTCTGAGGACTATGGGAAGGACTTGACCTCCGTGCAGAACCTGAGGAAGAAGCACAAGCGTCTTGAAGCTGAGCTGGCCAGCCATGAGCCCAGTATTCAGGGAGTCCAGGAGGTGGGGGAGAAGCTGATTGCCGAGTCCGACATTGGGGCGTCCGACATCCGGGCACGTTTGGACCAACTGGCTGAGAGCTGGGAGGAGCTGAAGAGTATGTCTGCCAACAGGGGACTCAAGCTGGACCAGTCCTATGCCTACCAGCAGTTCTCCGCTAACGTTGAGGAAGAGGAGGCTTGGATATCCGAGAAACAGCATCTGCTGTCTGGGGGAGACTTCGGGGACACCATGGCTGCGGTGCAGGTAGGGAAACTTGACTTTCTATGGTTGCTGTAGACATCTGGTGCCTATTTCACAAAAGGATTTTAGTATTATGATAAACGTAAGCCTATGTTATTGTATGTTAGGTCTAAGATCCCTTTGGGGAACGGGCCTCAGGGACTTATCTGGATCTTCACAGAGGCCAATATACTTGGCTCCAAATGTGCAGCAAATGTCCCAGTTTCCCAACTTATGTGATGGATTTGTAGTATTGTCTTCATTCATAACAGGACCTGTGAAGATCCGGGATAGAATAGGTCTTCAGCACCCATGCTTGCCGTAAATGGCAACTATGCTTGTCGTAAGAGGCGACTAACGAGATCGGGTGGTCAGGCTCACTGACTTGGTTGATGCATGTCATCGATGCTCATGATTTCAATCGCCGGATTGTCTTGTCCAGACTCGATTATTTACAGACCGTGGTCATATAGCTGGAATATTGCCGAGTGTGGCGTTAAACAACAACAACATTGATAACAGGACCAATAAAGAGGTTGATTCTTAATACTTATCATAAAATCAAATGTTCTGTGAAATACCCCAAATGAAGAATTCCATTGTCTTTGCAGGGTCTGATGAAGAAACACGAGGCCTTTGAGACTGACTGCAAGGTTCACCAGGACCGATGCCAGGAGATCAAGAATGAAGGACAGAAACTCATTGAAGAGGTACATCACACATGCTTTATTTTGAAACCTGGGAATGTGAAATAATATGGAGTGAAACAACACTAACTGTGACTAGTTAATATAGGTTGCATGTAATCTTTTGAAAGACAGCTTTTTCTATGTTGCAGAATAATTTGTAAAATTTCAAAAAATAACACTGAATTAATATTGATGCCCAAATTTCAATTGTGACCTCCATTGACTGTTTCCAGGGTAACCACAATGCTGAAAACATTGCCCAGCGCAGTGAGGGTCTTGAGCAGAAGATGAAGTCTCTTGAAGATGCTGCTGCTCATCGCCGTGCCAACCTCATCGACAACTCAGCCTTCCTACAGTTCATCTGGAAGACGGATGTTGTAGAGAGCTGGATTGGTGAGTTAAGACTTGTAGGATCTACTTGTCATTGTTCATTATTGTGGGGCTTTTTGTTTAGAATTGCCCCTAGCAACCTATGCTGGTCGTAAGAGTAACTAAATCAATCAGATGGTTAGGCTGTATGTGTTGGTTGGTAACGAAAATGTTGAAGAAAACCCACATTATGGTAGTATTAACTTTGCTCTTTTTCACATGAAATTATGCTTCTGGTCGCCGTTGTACTAAGCGATCTTAACGCTAAGGTGATCGAAACTCCCATACCTTAACATAGACTAAGGACAGCCGTAGCGCTAAGGTTGTTATGTATAACGACACCCTGGACTGCACTGATTACTCCAAACCTTCAGTTGGGGTTGGCATCTCTAAGTCACACCGCTAAGGATTAGTGTTTGTCATTAGATCTGACCCGTGAAGAATAGGTCTTCAGTAACCCATGCTTGACGTAAAAGGCGACTGTGCTTGCTGTAAGAGGCGACTAGTGGGATCAGGTGGTCAGGCTCGCTGACTTGGTTGATGCAGGTCATCGTATCCCAATTGCGTGGACCGATGCTCATGATATCAATCACTGGATTATCTGTTCCAGACTTGATTATTTACAGACTGCCATCATATAGCTGGAATATTGCTGAGGGCGGCATTAAAACAACAAACAAAACTCCAAACCTAAAATTAGGGTTGACATCCCTGGATAACATGGCTGAGGACTAGTGTTTCTCATTAGATCTACCTGGCCTAGACTCAATTGTTTGATGGTCATGGTGTTAAGTTATATATACTGCTGATTGTGTCCTAGAACAGTCATTCCTAACCCTGTCCGTCATGTTTATACGGGGCGGTCGGGTAGCCTAGTGGTTAAAGCGTTCGCTCGTCACGCCGAAGACCCGGGTTCAATTCCCGACATGGGTACAATGTGTGAAGCCCATTTCTAGTGTCACCCACCCACCCACCCACACTCACTCACTCACTCACTCACTCACTCACTCACTCACTCACTCACTCACTCACTCACTCACTCACTCACTCACTCACTCACTCACCTATGTTTATCCTTTAAATGTCAATCCTGTACTTCTGGACTTCCTCCTCAGTAAGATTTCCCTTCGGTTCCAGCTGACAAGGAGACCCAGGTTAGATCTGAGGACTATGGGCGTGATCTGTCGTCTGTCCAGACCCTTCTCACAAAGCAGGAAACTTTCGATGCCGGCCTGCAAGCATTTGAGAAGGAAGGAATCCAGACCATCACAGCTTTGAAGGACCAGTTGATCTCCGCAAAACATGCCCAGACACCAGCTATTGAGAAACGCTACAATGACGTCATTGCCAGGTACACATACATGAACTTTTCCAGATTACTCTACGTGGATGTATAACTCCAGACTGCATATGATCTTTCCTTGATGGGGATTTGACCGATAGTGTGTAATTGTCCCCGGGCAACTAGATTTTTGTTCATCAACCAGTTTTCTGTGGTCATACTATCATATACAGACGATTGCGATAAAAATGGAATAATGTTCATAATATAAAATCAGTCATAGTTATGGGTTGCCCCTCTTTCTGACAACCTATCGTGTCCACCAGTTGTCAGAAGCTACATCCATTTTGAGCTGGTCTTCACTGTGCAAGAAACAATCGTATTACCTCCCTTGTAACACAAGTGATTTTGTCCACCAGATGGCAGAAGCTACTGGCGGACTCGGATGCCCGTAAGCAACGCCTTCTCCATCTCCAGGACCAGTATCGCCAGATTGAGGATCTGTACCTGACTTTCGCCAAGAAGGCCTCGGCATTCAACAGCTGGTTCGAAAATGCTGAGGAGGATCTCACTGATCCTGTTAGATGCAACTCAGTCGAGGAAATCAGAGTAAGTTTGGAACAATGATCTCACTCTGATTTTTTAATATTTTAATGTGCTGTAGAATTTGAAGAAAAGGAATAACAAAATTCAGTCATGTTGTTCATGTGACACTAATTGAATGTCACAGATTTCAGTTTATGGGACCGTTCTGATAATTCTGATTTAATTTGTCTAATGATTGTTTAATGTTCTTTTATTATGAGGAAAAACAGCCACCCAGTGCAAGATTTCAAGTTGAATGTTTGTAAGATTTTTCTGACCATGCCCTTTGTTGCTAGGCACTTCGAGAGGCTCATGACCAATTCAAGTCCTCACTGAGTGCTGCCCAGGCCGACTTCAATGCTCTGGCAGCCCTGGACAAACAGATCAAGAGCTTCAACGTGGGGCCCAACCCCTACACCTGGTTCACCATGGAGGCCCTTGATGACACGTGGAAGAACCTACAGAAGATCATCAAGGTGAGTGAGTCACTACCAGCAGGCCAGGGAGGAGCATAGCGGCTTCTTGAAAGATCATCTGTAGATATTGTGAAGTCCCAATAAAACTGTTTAGTTTAGTTGAAAAACATGAATAATCCTCTATGAACAGCACACCTACAAATGCCATACCACCACTAAGCCACACCATACCTCGCCAAGCCACACCATACTTGCCATGCCATGCCACGCCACGCCACGCCACATACCACACCACACCTACAACACAGCACACCTACAAATGCCATACCACCACCAAGCCACACCATACTTGCCACGCCACGCCACGCCACGCCACGCCACGCCACGCATCACCACACCACACCACACCACACCACACCACACCACACCACCACACCACACCACACCACACCACACCACCACACCACACCACACCACACCACACCACACCACACCACACCACACCACACTACCAAATTTCATGCCACCACCACACCACATCAGACAACACCACACCACACCACACCACACCACACCACACCACACCACACCACACCACACCACACCACACCACACCACACCATCTGTCAAGTGATGTCTACATGTTATCACAAATATAAACCAACTCCTCTGTGGTTGCAGGAGAGAGACAGTGAGCTGGCTCGGGAGGAACAGAGACAGGAGGAGAACGATCAGCTCCGCAAACAGTTTGCTGCCGCTGCCAACACCTTCCACTCCTGGCTCACGGAGACAAGGTCAGTAGGGACAGGCTTAACAGGGGGATTCAGCAGGGAGGGTGTGACCTGTTGTCAATAGGGGTGGGGCCGGGAAGGCAGGGAATGCATCGTATCTGCATTAGCAGTTTTTTATCCACAGTGATCAAGTTATTGTGACAATGTTGTCAACAAATATTTGAAGCTGTGTCTATCTAGGTAACAAACATAGTGATCAAATGTCAGTGATGTTAATATACATTTGAAACAGCTCCCTACATTACAACAAAACATCACTAAATTTATTTTCATTTTCTATGTTTGTATTTACACTTTTAAAGTAAATGGCTTTTCTGTTGTGATAGTCCAGATATTTATTTTATTACATTCCTCTACATATGAAATAATTTCATGATTTTTCAACAAGTAAATGCTGTTTAAGGGTTTATTTCAATTTCATTTTGTTTATGTAATTTCTTTCTTTTCTATGAAATCCTGATTTTGCCCTGGTCAACTTATAAAATAGACTGTGGCTTCTCGATGGGTTAATATTATATTTCTTAGCATGATACAGATGTTGTGACTAGTTGATAGGTCTTTGCATATAATAACTGGCTTCTCAAGTCACCTGCAACTTTACAAGTAGTGCAGCATCTTGAAAATGGACAAGTGTTTTAGTTCAGTGACTAACCCATGAAGATCAGGGTTGGAATTGTCTTCAGCAACCAATGCTTGTAAGAGACGACTAACGAGATCGGGTGGTCTGGTCTTGGTTGATGCATGTCATCTTATCCTAAGCTCATGATGTCAATCGCTGGATTGTCTCGTCCAGAGTTGATTGTTTACAGAGCGCCATCATAAAGCTGGAATATAGCTTAGTGTGGTGTTATACAACAAACAAACAAACAGTGACTAAAGTAAAGTACCAAGTTGTGTAGCCAAACATCATCCTGACCTTCCAGACAAACAAATAACTGTTCCACAGATTTGGCATTATTGTAAAAAACGTTTGTTAAGCACATTAATGTGCAGCATAGTAAATATAACCTTTTTGCTTTACCAAATAACATTTTGGCAGTTTTCTAAACGCATGAGTGTGCCTGTTGATAAATGGCATATGAAATGTCCTACATGAATTTGTAACCATGGTAACCTAATAAGTAATTGTTCCTCCCAATTTTTGTCACTAACCATTCCATCCCAGATTCCCCTTTCCAACCGTCCTTCCTGTTGTGTTTTTATTTGACAGTTTAACATTACTAGCAATTTTCAGCAGTGTGTATGAACAACATTTGAATGCATTGTTCCATGAAATAACAGGTTTATTTAACTCATAACATTGCATGAGAGTGTGACACTGTGTGCTGTGTGATATGTCAACGTCACCAAACATGCTATTGATTCGAGTGATGAAGAGCTTAAGACAAGCATAATAATAATAAGTCCTTTAACAATGCATTTCATTGGACTCTTGAATGCTCATGGCGCTACATTTTTACCCCAGTCAGTGGATCAGTATGAAGTTGATTTTCATTCTCAGCTCCCTGGGGAGTATACAACCAGGCACATATTGAACATTTAGCTTCTGTTTACAATACTGCCTCTCAATACCTGTGCAATACTTGTGTTTTTTTAACATATTCAAAACCCTTTTGGGACTCTGGCTTTGTGTGTTGGTCCCCAGAAACCTATCCAGTATGCTGTGTTTCCAAGGCAATCAGGGATCAGGTGGCCAGACTTAGTGACTTTGTTGATTGCGTGTCATTATACCTTGACGGCATGGATCATTTACAGGAAGCCATCATATAGCTGGAATATTGCTGAGAGTGATGTTAAGCAACAAACAAGCGACTATGTTCAAGACCTAGTCACTGGGGGAACCCTGAGTAATAAATAATTGGAGCCCTGTTTGTCAGTACAAAGGTGCAGAGATGGAACAAACAAGGGCTTGTTTATTGAATTAATACATCATTTGTAATAAAATATTATTTATTCGGCAATTTAAAGTATGAACATAGTCGTAACAATGGTGATGATGATGATGATGATACTTGACACGAACAGTTAATAGCTGTTTTGTGGTTTAAACAAAAGTATTATGTGAATGGAAGCTTTATGAGAAGTGTAATGACTGTGTCCTCCCTGTTGCAGAGCTGCCATGATGGAGGGGTCTGGGACACTGGAAGAACAGCTGGAAGCCACCAAGGTATGTATGGGCTTACCAAATCTCATTAAAATCAGATCTTAGTTATCGCTACCGCTAAACAAATAAACAAAGATCTGAGGACATCCCATTACGGGGCACGTCAGACCGACCTTGCATGAACTTTGACATACCAATGGAATGACCAGTCAGAAGGCAGCTTTCCCGTTCTTTACGGCACTATTTTCAATTTGGCGACAACGCTTCGAAACATATTCCGACAAATTCTCTATTACAAATTTGAAACCTGAACAAAAGAACATTCTGGAATCACTAATAGATGGTCTAGATGTATTGATTCAGTCGTTAAACCAGAAACTATCGTTCAGAATACCCCGTGTTACAGTTTTCGAGGATGCATGATTAGAAATCACATTCCGACTGTCACTTTCATGATCTGGTAAGCGACGCTCTGATTGGTCGGATGAAAGGTCGTTCTGATGAGACCTCTACTGTAATGTCCTCAGATCTTTGTTTAGCGGTAGCGAGAACTAAGGTCCGATTTTAATGAGATCCGGACTTACCTTCCACATAAACTTGACACAGCGATAGGATTCAAATATCGTTCAAATGACTTTACTCAATCACACTCTTTTTCTTATATAAATGAATATGCCAAAGCATGACTACACACCCTGTGGGAGTTTGGTCTTAAATTGAAATAAAATGCTGTCATGCGGGGTTGCTTAAACTGATGTGATGCAGCAATGCGAGCTGAGAATGATCTCTGGGTGCTGACTGCGTAAGTCTATGTTAAGGTATAGCAGTTACGATCACCTTCACTCACAGATTGCTTTGTACAACGGCACCCTGCGAAGTAGAGTGAGGTTCCATGGATTAGGGCGTCCCAGGGCTGACTGTCCCAGTAAAATAAAACTATTTGTTCTGTTTAACAGTAGAAAAGAAGACATTATTGATACAATCTGTGCCAGAATCATTTGAGAATACTTAGTCCCCAGCAACATGTTCAGTATAATTCCATGTGGACATTTATTAGATGAGCATACTAGAATGTTATTAGACTCTGGATTAGACTTTGGGCTGAGGTTGTTGGGCTAAGGGACTGTTGATGGTGTTTGATGGTGTGATTGAGTGGCATGTTCTGTCCCTGCAGCGCAAGGCACAGGATGTGCGGGCACAGAAGGGTCAGCTGAAGAAGATTGAGGACCTGGGTGCAGCCATGGAGGAGAGGCTTATTCTGGACAACAGGTACGCTGTGTGATATGACAGGTAGATGACAGGTACGCTGTGTGATGTGACACACTCTTGAAGATCAGGGTCAGAATAGGTCTTCAGCAACCCATGCTTGCCGAAAGAGGCAACTAACGAGATTGGGTGGTCAGGCTCGCTGACTTGGTTGATGCATATCATTGTATTCCAATTGCGTGGATCAATGCTTATGATGTCAATCACGGGATTGTCTTGTCCTGACAGAATTATTTACAGCCATCATATAGCTTGAATATTGCTGAGTGCGGTGTTAAACAACAACAATCAAACAAACAATATGATGTGACAGGTATGCCGTGTGACTTGACAGGGAGACAACAGGTACATTGTGTGTTTATGATGGAGACATTGGTACATCCGAATGTAGCAGTTGTTTGTTTTGTCCAGGTACACGGAGCACAGCACAGTGGGCCTGGCTCAGCAGTGGGATCAGCTGGATCAGCTGTGTATGAGGATGCAGCACAACCTGGAGCAGCAGATCGAGGCCAGGTAACTACCGCCAGTCCACACGCACTCCACTTGGGCTGAGGGGAGACTACAATCATGTGTATCCACATCTTCCCGAGATTATAAAAGTCCAGTTTCCACCCTTGCCAAAATAGGGCTGAAATTCCAAGGTTACATTTTTGCTGGACTAACGAGTCTATGCATAGTCCAATCATCACCCAGGTCCTCAATCTTCAGCTGACTGCAGCATTTTCAAAACATGTGTACCATTAACTGGGCTCAACAGATATTTTGCAAATCTTATAATTTTCATAATCAAGGTTTTCTTATGATGTGATACACTTCATAGGGTATAGTAAGACCTGCTTTATAACAATATAGATCTTGATTATCGTTCAGATCGTCTTGACTGGGCGCCTCCATTTTATTTGAAGCAACTGCAAGTGATATGAGGATTGGAATCTGATTGGTCAATAGGAGGGACATAGAAGGGGCATAACTCGTAATAGCCATTGTTGGTGCTACAATCAAGCCTGGAAATTCCAGCCTAGTTTTGCAAGGGTGGAAACTGCCCTTTTATAGTCAGTTAAGGCCCTTGCCTCGGGAAGATGATGTATCCATGTATCATTTCAACCCTACTTACAACTGTCAACAGTGGAGGGGCTCCTCATTAAGGTTTGAAGCCTCATGGGAATTTTGGTTTATAATAGGTCACCAGCAACCTATGCTGGTGTAAAGAGGTGATTTATGAAGATCTGGGTTAGAATAAATCCAAGCAACCTACACTGGTCGGAAGAGATGAATTGGGTGTCCAGGCTATTTGATTTGGTTGATAGCGTGTTATTGTACCCCGACAGGGTGGATGGTCTATTCAGACTCAAATATATACAGGCGCCCTCATATAGCTGGAATATTGTTAAACAAACAAATTAAAGCCTGATCGGAGGCAATTGTTGTTCATATATGACTTTGATGCCATTGTCATCTGAATATTTACTTCTACTAAGCCATGCCAGAATTGTCTGATACAGCAGAAATATTGGTGTACTGCTGGGATAGTTTCAGCTAATGCTTTGTTTTCCTTTCAATAGAAACCGCAGTGGAGTGTCGGAAGATGCCCTGAGAGAATTCAGCATGATGTTCAAGTGAGTACCGGCTTACACTGTTGCCTTATCAAATCAGCATTAGAAATTGGCACTGGTCCTGTGGTCCTTGCCAAACTGCCCAATAGTTAAGGTATCCTTAGGACTGTTAGAAATTTGTCCTTTTTAAGGGTTATGCTATATGTTATCATTTTAACGACTTGTGGACTAAAACATTTCACGATAATTTGTTCTGGAGAGTTGTTTAAGATGTCTACAGTAGTATGTCGGCCAGTACATGGTTGTGTAATTGCCTGGTTTGTTTCAGACATTTCGACAAGGATAAGAGCGGCAAACTGGACCACCAGGAGTTCAAGTCGTGTCTTCGAGCTCTGGGCTACGATCTGCCCATGGTGGAGGAAGGACAGATAGATCCGGAGTTCCAGGCTATTCTGGATATCGTGGATCCAAACAGGTATTTATACTTCAACATGACACCTGGTACAGCATTTCTGTGAATATAATGTACAGGGAGGGTGTACAGGCCTATGAGATTTCTGAGGGTTGCTTTGCATCCTGGTTCGCCTTGATTATGTTTCACCAAGGTGATGAATGTCTGAGATCTGTATCACTTTAGGCTTTACTCTCACATTAATCTGAAACGCTGTGATATAACTGGAATACTGTTCACAGCGGCTTAAACCCAACTATTTCGTCACTGTAATGTACAGTTTACTCAATGGAAGCCTTTGAATGTATCAAGTTTTCCTTATGATAAACTGTTGGTCATTTCTCATTACAACAGTATGATTGAAATTGTTTAATATTACACTGATGTTCCTTTGAATATTACACAGAAGTTCTGTTGTTTACTGCTCCTGTGTTCTGTTGTATGTTATTCCTACGTTCTGTTTCCCAGGGATGGTCAGGTGTCCTTACAAGAGTACATGGCGTTCATGATCAGTCGCGAGACAGAAAACGTCCAGTCCAGCTCGGAGGTGGAACAAGCTTTCCGAGCTCTTACCTCAGGCGAAAAGCCTTATATCACTGCACAGGAACTTTATGCCGTAAGTAAACTGGGGTCCCCCAACAGAGATATTGGGAGATGATAGGTAGTTATCAGAGCTATAAGAGGCGATGTAATTGGATGGGGTGCTCAGGTTCAATGACTGGGTTGAAAGCATTGGACTCATATCAATCACTAGTTTGTCTGGCCCAGGCTCAATGTTAAAGGGACCTGTGAAGATCCTGGTTAGAATAGGTCTTCAGCAGCCCATGCTTGCCGTAAAAAGGCGACTTGTCGTAAGAGGCGACTAACGGGGTCGGGTGGTCTGGCTCGCTGTCTTGGTTGATGCATGTCATCGTATCCCGGTTGCGTAGACCGATGCTCATGATGTCAACCATTGGATAATCTGGTCGACACTGATTATTTACAGACCTGATTTAGTGTGTATGGTGGAAGTCTCCTGGGGATTACATGGATTAATTTGCAGACTGGAATTTGTGTTTGCCTATTCCAGTCTTGTTGACAGTCTACTAGCTGCAGTTACACAGCTGAGGTGTTGCTTTTGTAAAACCTGTTACAACCAACAAAATATTTGGATGGGTTGTACAAGTGAGGTCATTAAATGTTAAATGTATCTGCTATTACTTATGAAATGGTCCCCTAATGACCAACACAGGATGAATCTCTTGGACGTTAGGCCCCATTTCACCTTGCACCACCTGGGTTTAATGTATGCTTTCTTGTAATTTCAGAACCTTACAAAGGAACAGGCAGATTACTGTGTGGCCCGCATGAAGCCTTATGTCGACAAGACGGGCAGAACAATACCCGATACTTACGACTACGCCGATTTCACTCGTCAATTATTCGTCAATTAATATTGATGTGGATTTCTTGACACTGCCAAGATCTGCTATCTTATCCTAGTATCGCTTAATGTACGTAGATACGGACACTGTTAAGACATGAATGGAGGCGAAGGTTTTTATGAAATGGCTCGAAAGAGGTGGTTGTGAATGTTTTAGGTGCAATGGTAGACATTTCAGTTTTGTTTCCAGTTTTACATGTCTTGTTGATTCATGGATTTTACATGTTACACATTTGTTCAATTCATATTTAATCGATGTACCATTTTACTGTACCACAACAGATTGCTATTACCATGGCAGTAACTGTAGTGTTGATGGACGAGTCCTGTCCTCCCTTGTGTCAGTGGCCATTACGTGTACGAGCTTTATTAACAGAGCTGGTATGGCAAGATTTCTTCTTCAATAAATGCTTATTCCCTTATGAGATGGCCTTGTTTTCTCTTACTACCAGGGATTCTCGACAGAATCATAGCTTCCAGCCTCAAGACATATTTGAGAATGACCTTCAATTATGAGGGATTGTGTGTCTGTCCCTAATTTATTACTTGTTTGGTTTAATAAGAAGTTGATGGATGGCAAAGTAGACACAATTTATGGATAACAACTTTATGTACTTTATGTACTGTAAATATATATATTCTGTACCATATTTTTGTTCAGCCTTGCTTGACAACGGGATAAGGATCTGTACCGAAATGTCTTGCTGTAAATAAAGAAGTTGTTATCCATAGATTGTTTACTTTGCCAAAGTTATTAGGTTTTAAGTCTTTAGTGTTCATTTTGATTATTAATCTATGAAGGACAGATAACCTTTTGTTAGGTTATTTTGTATGTGGTATACAGTCCCTGTACTCTGCTGTCTTAGTTCACTCTTGCTTGAAAAGACCGCCTCAGTGGTCTAGTGGTAGAGCGTCCGCCCGGAGAGCGGAAGGTCCGGGGTTTGATCCCCGGCCGCGTCATACCAAAAGACGTTAAAAGATTGTACTTGTTGTTAACCTGTCTGATGCTGGGCATTAAGGGGCTAAAGCAAGGACTGGTCGGCTTGGAGTCAGTATACTGTGTCTGAGTGGGGTATTCATGTTAAACTGCGGCATGGTATCTCAGTGTCCTAGCACTATAAATCGGCATCAGTCCAGACTAGTACAAGCAGCCACACACACACACACACACACACACACACATCGCTATATAAGTGCAATAATCTTGGCTGGACGTTAAACCCAATTTCACCTCACCTCATCTTGCCTGAAAACGGCATAAGGCTCTATTCCAAAACGTCACATCATTATAGAATATACAATTTGTCATCCATACATTATCTGGCCTTTACAGTGTACACTCAAGTACCAAAGGTGACAGATCATATGGGTTTACTGACAGTTCCATATATATTACTCAAAAGAAGACATTTATAGACTGTTATAGCATGACATAACTGTAGTCATATGAATGACTTAGTGTACTATAACTTGTTTTGGTAGTATATATGATTATAAAGAAAAGAACTACATATATATATGGCTCCTGCAAGCGTGCCTTGTCGGCACTGGTTCCATCAACCTGTGTTGGTTGTAAGAGGTGAAATAATCATCAATGGATTAAATAAACTACACATAAAACAAATATACCAAATGAAACGCGAATACATGTTTATATTATTATGTGAAGACTTAATCATATTCAAGAGATATTAGATTGGTTCAATGCACAAACAAACATACTGGTAAGTCGATGAGAGAACTGCATCAAATGGGTCCAAGGAATACACCATTATTCAATGCAGATACAGTAAAATCTGTTTATAACGGATATAAAAACTTATATTTTGGTCCTGGCTATTTTCTGTAAAGATGCTGTATACTAAAAATTAGGGCAGGGTCACGGTACATGAGGTTTTATGCACCCCACGTTACGTTTTATACCAGGAGCTTCGTGCTACAACTAATTTATCTTACCGTCATGTGCAGCGAGCCTGACTTGCTTGTGGCGGGGTATAAGGCATTTATTCTTCCGCTGAGAAATTTATTTCCCTCCAAGGCGGGATACATAGTATTGTATCAAGATCACATGGACAAATCAGATCTCATCATTCTGCCTTTGTCGTTTGGTAGTTGTTTATCACTGCTATCAGCAACATTCCAGCTATATGACAGTTGTCGGTAAATATTTGAGTCTGGACCAGACAATCCAGTGATTGACATCATGGACAGCGATCCACGCAATTGGGATATGATGACATGCATCAACCAAATCACTGAGCCTGACCACCCGATCCGTTGGTCGCCCCTCACGACAAGCATTGGTTGTTATCATTATGACAGTGAGGTATGATAAATGCTTATAACGAATTAAAATTAGTGGTCCATTTGAGTTCGTTATAACCTTAGTTTACTGTATAATAATCTGGATAATAGGGGTTGTTTGAAATTTGGCACTAAGAAATATTAATAAATGTATTTTCACCAAACCAGGGTGTCACAAACATCACCTTAATGAAATGAACACTAGAATACAGGATAAAACAACCGCTGCAGGTTTGGTTGAAAACGTCAACGTGTAGCAGCGAGACAAACCAAGGGCCGACCTCACGTGATTACACGTTTTTAACCAAACCCGAAGAATTGTTTTTATCTTCTGTTTTTTTAAAGAAAATGCTGAAACAACTCAACATTTATCAACAATTATGTTTGCTACACACGTTCCATGAGTCTTAAGAAGCGGACGTAATATATCTCTTGCTGGCGTACTTCAGACGTGAAAATCCGGATTAGAAAAGGTCTTAAGCTATCCATACTTGTAAGAGGCGACTAACGGGATCGGATGGTCAGGATCACTGACTTGGTTGATGCATGTCAGTGTTAAACTGTGTTGAGTGCGGCGTTAAACAAGAAACAAACATGTACTTGAAAAAAAGTTTTTTGTGTATCAGGGTCTCAACCATAATGGTACACTCACTAGACTACAAATACAAATCTTGCATGTTCGATCCCACTGAAATATAAGTAACGTTTTGCTTGAAATTAGTATAGCGTCAGGTAAGTATAAAAACCATAGCATTTAATCAGAAATGCTCATCTTTTCGCTCATTTCCCTAAGTTACCAGTGTAATGTGTGTTATATGAATCTATTAGAATAGGCAGAGCGATCTTTTGTAGAACGTCACTTCTAGGGGGTTATTCTACAGCACGAAGGCCCCGTAAAAATGATAGGATGACGTCCCGAGAAGCTTATTAGCTTCATAAACTGGTTTCAGATGAGATGTAAAAATGCAGTAACTTAGATAAACGGGTTAATGTTTATACCCGAGGCCACAGCAGGGCACAAACACAACGTACCACGTACGGTATATCAATTTATATAATGATTCATGTTGAGTAATGGTGATTAATACTAGTATTCAATATGGCTGCTATGGCGGCCATGTTTAAAAACAGATCAGACGACTGTTGGTGCCGTTTAGAGGTAATGTTTTCCCACCATTGCTGGAATAGCCATGCAAAGCTTGAGCATCATAGACTGTGAAGACCCGTTCGGATTCCTGATAAGAATTTATGTTTGGGTCCCCAGCAAACTATGGCGGTTCAGGTTATGTGGCTTGGTTGATTGCACGTCAATATACCCGGACAGCGTTGTCTGGTCCAGACCCGATTATTTACAGGCCGCCGTCATATAGATTGGATATTGATAAGTGCAGCATTTGATAACAAACCCATACTCACATAAACGTAGACTTTATGAGAGAGTGAGTACTCACATAAACATAGACTTTATAAGAGAGTGAGTTTGATTTAACGCCGCTGTTCTTAGACTGTGAAGTGAATGCATTTAACACTTGAGTGTAATTATTTTCTTGAATTCCCACCGAGCAGTGCTAATAATCTTAACGTAAACATACACATATAACTAAATTATATGGTATCAACAAATGTAGCAATTAATTGTATTATTTTTGGATAACAAACGCAAATTGATCACCGAATTATGTGCCAGCGTGTTTGTACGATAAACGGACCCCACACTCCGTTTTTTAAAACAAATCTGTTTCCGAGCATGGAATTTGTAGGTGTACGCACCTCACACACCAACAATACCAAGAGCAATGTGCAGCCCATGCATTGGTCACTTCCCCTGAACACACATACAATCACAAACAAACATATGTAAATATATATTTTATTGAGATTAAATACAATGTTATTGTCAAGCGCGGTTGTCAGCTGTTTGCATGGGGCTGGGATGATCTAACTGCCCGTTCCGTCCTTGTCGCTCTCCAATAACATCGCGGAAGCTGCTTAGACCAGGGGGCTGAAACAACAAAGGAGTGCTTGTAGGATATGTTTATTGTCTCCTGTTCGAATCCCAGATGTTTTCTAGTTGTGTTTTGAGTGGGTATGATTTAACGCCGCTTTGAACAGTATTTCAGTTAAATCACGACGTGTCAGCTTCATTTTTTGGGAAAACCCGAAATGATGTAAGTCTTAGACTTTTACCATTTTGGTCACATCCACGGGAATGATGCTGCCAAACCAAGATAATAAATATTCAGGTGGATCTGGGATTCGAACCCACGATCACTGGGTTCTCGCTCTCCTAAGGGAAGCAACTCTGCCAAGGGAATTGAGGTAATTTAGACGACTGGGCCGCCAGTGCCTCTTGGTGTATAAAGTGCACTAACAAACACAGGTACAGGAAGGTACACTTACAAGGCCTCGCAGATGAAGTTAAGCTCGGCGTTGCAGGAGTGGTCATTCCACTTGTAGTCTCTGCCATCCTTGGCGTTGATGTGGGCGCAGTTCTCGCCGCGACCGTTGTCGTTGTTGGGCTGTCCGGGGATCCAGTTCAGGTAGGTGGCGTTCTGCTTGAAGCGCATGTTCTGCCACTGACCCTCAGTGTCCATGTCGCTCAGGCCGATCCAGAACTGCTCATAGTAGTCTACAGAACACGCGAGATGTTCGTCAGAGGTGGAAATAGATTCACGATGTTTGATACAGGGTAATAGGGAATCCCATTTACGTCAGCTATCAACAGCAGTAAGTATTACTTTGGGATTATAATAAACAGTATTACAGCCACAGAATGGGTTTCACACTAAATACCAATGTTGGAAATCGAATTCGAGCCTTCGGTGCGACGAGCGTACACTTTACGTACAAGGCTACCCTGCAGCCCCAATAGGAAAAAGGTGAGAGTTCTTTAGATTTTAGACTTCAGAGTAATCTTACAACCAATGGCACCGAGGGAGGGGGTGGGTTTTGGCACGAGGAGAGCCTTCATATATTGCACTGTCCAATATTTAAAGATTGGAGTATGATATTGGGACTCCTTAAGCGAAATCATAGCCATATCACGGCAGGGAATACCACGTATTGGCTTGAACAATTGTTCCAATGAAGGGAATCGAACTCGGGTCTGCGGCGTGAA